ATTTTATACATAACATTCAACAAAATAGAAGCATCATCACTGCTGCAAGTGTCCATTCAACAATGTTCAAAACGGATTAACTGATGTCTAGATTTATCATCACTACCAATGCTGATATCTAAATCATACAGATCGGGTGACATGGTTAAATAGAAAAGGGAAAGGTGGTGCAGAATTGAAAGATTTGGAAATGAAATGCTCCAGCTGTATAGCCATGATAAATTTGTCATTTAGTATTTGTAAGTATAACCTGATTTATTTTACCAGTCTTTAGGGAAAAAGTTTCCTTTGAGTGCTTCTGTTGATTGAAACTGTTCATTGGCATTGAATCTTTCTTTTTTGCCAAAAGTTTAAATTACTTTCAAAACGATTTAGTTTCTTTTGCCCTTTAGCAGAATACCATGATTGGCATGGTATAATACCAATATCAGTTGAATCCTGATTTCAAGTGGGACTGGGATGGATGTCAAATAATTTTTTACACTGAAATTAACTGAGTTTAAATCCTGTGGTTGATGATATGATGATTTGAACAAAATGTGGTATGTTAGCAAGTAACGTGTAGTTTTCAAAAGAGTGATTGCTATTAGTCAAGATATCAATATGGCCATCTAGAATAACCTGTTTTCACAATATCGTTGACCATATTTAATAGCTAGTTTTGAAATAAGATTCATGCTTTGTTCTTTATTTTTGCACTGTATTGCTTATGTTTTCCTATTCAATGCATGGTGAAATTTGTGCCTAAGTGAAACAACATATCTTGTATATTTTTAAAGTAGTGTCTCCTTTGTAACTGGATGCAACTTTATTTATGAAGATTGTAACCTGGTTCTCATATTCTCATATTTAACAGCAGCCTGTATTATTAAGAAGAGACTGTGAATTTAAGTTTGGTTGGCAGGAATATTTAATTTCCTGCCATCCATTGTTTTAGATATTCTTTATGTGGAAAATAGACCACATCCTTATTTTCATCCCACTTGTAATTTGTTACAGAATGACATTTGCAGAGCAATCTGAGATTGCTTCCCATCTTTTAGTTATGTAACTCAAAATGAAATATTAAGGATACTGAGTCGTTATTCTCTATGCAGTGGGGTTATGTAAGGTTTGAATTCTCAATTTAACTCTCATGATAGGAAATAGATTAGCCATTATCTTATCGACTGGCAGAGCAGGCTTGAAGGGCAAAATGGCCCACTGTTGATCCCAATTTTTATGCTTGTAAATTGATAGATGAAGTCACATTAAGTAACAGTCTTTGTCTATAGGTGTGAGGCTGGAAAAGCACAGCAGGTCAGACAGCATCAGAGGAGCAGGAAAGTCAATGTTTCAGGCCAAAACGTTGACTTTCCTGCTCCTCTGTTGCTGTCTGATCTCCTGTGCTTTTCCAGCCTTATACCTATAGGCTTCTAACATCTGCAGTCCTTATTGTCTCCAAGCCACATTAAGTGACACTTTGATGGTTCCACATGATTAGTGGAAATATGACGATGCCCTATAAATAGAACTTTATTCAATAAGAATTTGGAGAAACTATCCATGTAATATTAACTATGTAAATCCTGACACTAGTTTAATCAAACTTGCAAATTTTCATGGAAAGTGTATGATGACAGAGGTACTTCATGTATCCTTACACTGATGTAGATGAAGAAGTATTTTGTCTGAAAGTAGAATTTTGAATATCCATCCCAGTTCCAATACTACTTTTGATTGTTGGGTTTCTCTTAGCTCCATTGCTATTACTGGAAGACAAAACAATGTACCTATAGTTTGAATTGTGAAAGTGCATGGCATGCTTTACTGTAATGCACTCCTTGGTTTTAGATGTGTGGGAGTTTGTGCAAACTGTTTTATTTCATGTCTGAGTGCAGCGCCTCTTTCATCCCTCTTGCCTTTCATTGACTTTCTTTACATTAAACTGCATGAGAGCTGTAAACCTGATGCATTTGATTGAATGTAAGCACACTGTGTTTTAAGCTTACAAGCCAAGCTTTTGCAAATTGTTCACTGCAAATTTCAGTGCAGTGAAACCAAAGCCCCATTGTCAACAGTTCATCTGAAAGCTAATATTTAAAAAGTGGTGGTTCATTTCTGTTAGACAAGACTGATGTGGTCAGAATTTAATAGTCTGGAGATGTTCAGTTTGATAAATCGCCATCATGTTGAAACCATTTTCATTCCCATGAGTAATGACAGAGTTATTCTCTAACTACTTGCACATTAAATAGGATCAGAAGCAAAACATCCAGTCTGGACAGCAACAGGAAAGCATCATAACATTGCCGCTTATCTGAACCAGGCATTGTAATCTCAAACAGATAGAATACCTTTGATGATCTGTGTGATGTCAAATGAATAATCCAGTTCATGGTATTACAGGACAATGTAGCATTAGCAAAATGATGTTTATGTGTACTGAAGAATATTTTTCTGAGTTAATCTATATCTAACTAACATTCCAATGGTGCAGAAGCTGTTATGAGATTTTACTTGTAGTATGTTAGCGATTACATCTGGTGTCACCAGAATTGAGTTCACTGAAGATTTGTGGTATGAGAACAGTGTGCCAGAATATGAATTCCAAATTACAAAATTGGCAGTTACAAGTAACCCCCACCACCATCCAAACATTTTGAAAAGAGTATTCCTTATCATGCTTGATTTTTCTCCCATTGCAGCTTGCAGTGAAGGATAATCTGGACTGGGTGATTAATTCACAATTTATACTCTCATTTTGAGAATAGCTAGCAACGGCACAGTTGCAGCAGGGTGAGGTACACAGTTCCTTTTCTCCCTTTACCCACCTTAGACACAGAAGCCTGTGCAGAACTGTAGCAGTCCTGGGAAGAACAAATGAATCACTTGAAGCTAGATGAGCGGGGCAAAGTCAGGGTGATAAGTACTTTAGTAACTCGAGTCAAATGCATTTAATGAAAGGCAAATTACTAAGGAGCCTGGTCCTGATTCTTGCAGTCTGATTCATAGTGATGTGCTGCAGCCCCAGCTCGACTGCAATACCCTTGAATGACTAATTATCAAATGAAAATTATGTGAAATTTTCTGTTCATAAAAATCCATATTGAACGAAAGCAGGTGCATAATTTTACAAGGGTTCTGAACTTACACTTCTTTTAAAATTACAAAAGCATTGCAGTAATCCTAAATATTAACATTTCAATAATAAATTATATTAAATAATATTTGAGTTATTTTTAGAGAATGGTTTGAGTTACAATCATTGTGCTTAAAATTGGAAGAACAAAGTCTTCTTTGGCTCGTTTTGCTGGTTTCCAAAATGCTGATGGTTAGCAACAGATTGACTTTAATTGCATTTGTAAGATTAACAGAATATCTTGTTACATAATAGTTCACTTGTCCCATCATCACCTTTAAGTATTTGTCAAGATTTATCTTATCATTTAGTTCTAATATAACACAAGTTGTATGATGGGGCAGATTTTTTTTGTACATTAAACTCTGATAGCGTTGAAAACCTTGGATAAGAAAACTTCAATAACCAACCAAAATGTTCTCATCCCTTCGTCGCAAGTCTTCCAATTGATTCCCTTCAGTGTTAAACAGATAGAGTTTAAGTTTAATATACTATATTATGACACTTCTTAATAATTAAAAACAATTTTGGCCTGATTTCCCCCACCAATTCTCATATACATGCACCATAAATTGATTATTTTTTTATTTTTACCTGGTGTTCAAGCTAGGAGTAATAAAAAAATGAAGGAATTTGCAAATTTCTGTTCTTTTCATTTATTTATTTTTAAATTGTGAAATCACATACATTATTTGTTCAATTTATTAATCACATTTAATGTGTTATTACAATTCTGAATGCTGTACTAAAAATTTAATTCAGTAGCAAATTTTGAGAATAAAATTTAGTGTTTCACAAATCGGCCTCATTTGTGGTATTCACCAAACAGCTGCTTAGATTTCATTGAAAACTGCAGTACCATTTTAGACCATGACATTTTTTGTTAAAAATGATATGTTTTATGTTTCGAATTCCCTAAATTCAGGAAGCATATAAAGCATACATGGTAGTGAACAGTCATTCTTTCTGTTCTTATGTATTCTGTTCCTCACAAGTGTTCCGCTGTGTTAGCAATGTAGAAGTAATGGTTAAATGTTGAATTCTATGCTTATCCAGCAGCAACCAAATTGTTCTGTATTCTGGATTTTGAAAAAGCGTGTTATTTATATTCAACATTATGTGCTCCTCTGCAAGTTGATTGAGGGACTAATTGACATTAAGCTTGGAGAATACCAGAAATGAACGCATTTGGAGGGATTAACACACTGCTATGCTTACATTATGTTAGGGCACATTGTTCCTGTAGCTCTCCATATGAGAATTGTTAAAGTTAGCTTAGCGGCCAAGATCTTAATTGCCTCCCCATAGACAATATAAATTTGTGTGAAAATCACCTAAAACCTACAGTACACGCACTCCCTCCCATTGTGTATTGCAGGGTAACCTGAGAAAAAACAGAAAATTAAAAATAATTTACATAGAGGTTTGCTTTTACTGTATTTCCAAAATTGCCTCATTATATTAAATCTGCAAAGGATCATTTGAATCCAGAATTAAGAGGATTCCCTGATATTTGATTTTACCTTTTTCTAGCTTAATATTAAAAGGATAGCAAAGTTTTGATCTATTTTCTTTTAAAATACTGGTTTTCTTCTGCTTAACTACAGATAGCTGTATAGAGGAGAAGTTTGTTCTGTGTTGTTTCCTCATACAGTTTGTACTTATAGCACACATCAAACATTGTTGCTTGGTGCTTGCATTACTAAAGCATCAACCATATAGATTTTATTTTACTACTGCAGTTCATTTTCGTAAAGAAGTAACTGATATTTATGAAGGTATCCAGAGTGGTGGGTGGATGTGGTTTGTGTGCACTGCATGGTAATAGCTGAGGCTCCTTTAATATTTTTGATACTACCACAAATATGTTCCTTTCCAGTGCGTCGAGTTCCCCCTCGGTTCTCTATCCCACCCACTAGCCATGAAGTGATGCCAGGGGGCAGCATTAACCTCACCTGTGTAGCTGTGGGTTCACCCATGCCCTATGTGAAATGGGTGACTGGAGCATTGGAACTCACACCAGAAGAAGACATGCCTGTTGGACGTAATGTTCTGGAGCTGGTTAATATCAAGGAATCTAAGAATTACTCATGTGTTGCAATGTCTTCCCTGGGTGTTATTGAGGCAACAGCACAAATAACAGTTAAAGGTAAGCAATATAAGCCAGGATAAGAATGACCGCCTCACAACTAACATTCATAGTCACCTGGCCTCATTAATTAGAGAAGTATGTCTTTTGATATTTATTTCCTCTCCCTTTGTTCCACTTCCACTAAACTATAATTAGGTTACAGCTGTAGTTCTGTTTATCTCTGCTGATAAGTACTTTTCTTCGTATTGTCATAGAATTATCTCATAGTCAATCTTACAGTACATGGATTTCTTTACTTATGAGCTGAATTTGGTTTGGTTAAAGGTCAGAAGGCCATATTTCTATTTAGAATCCAAAGTTATAATAGTAACTTGACAGGCAGAAAATGGTGACCATGATTTAAGGTGCAGTATGTGTTGACGGCTGCTGATTTTTTTCTGTTCCCTCATTTCTTGATAGTCGTTCAATTTTAAAATTTAATCAGTCAGATGTTTTGTAATTAAAATGCGACATATGTTTATTTTGTTACTCTGTTTATTCATTTGTAGGTTTACATTAAACTTTAAAATAGCCTTTTTGTGCATTTTAGCTTTAAGATAACTTTACTTTGTGTAAATGCTTGTGCATTCTAGCTTTACCAAAGCCACCCACAATGATGAGCGTTACAGAGACAACAGCTACCAGTGTTACACTGACATGGGAATCAGGAAATATGGAACTGATACCATACTATGTTATTCAGTATAAACCAAAATCCTCTGACGGACCTTTCCAAGAGGTGGATGGAGTTGCCACCACACGATACAGTATTGGAGGTCTCAGCCCATACTCAGAGTATGAATTCCGAATCATTGCGGTAAATAATATAGGCAGAGGTCCTCCCAGTGAACTAGTGGAAACAAGAACGGGTGAGCAGGCTCCATCCAGCCCACCTTTAAAAGTCCAGGCTCGTATGCTGAGTGCCAGCACCATGTTAATCCAATGGGAGGAGCCAGAAGAGTCTAATGGACAGATTCGGGGTTATCGTGTATATTATACTACAGATTCCAGGCTTCCCTTAAATATGTGGTACAAACATAACTTGGATGATAGTCGTCTAACAACGATCGGTAGCTTAATAACAGATACAATATACAGCATCCGCGTATTGGCATTCACCTCAGTTGGCGATGGACCACCATCTGAAATTATACAAGTCAAAACAAAGCAAGGAGGTGAGTCACAAAATTTCCTATCCATGCCCATATGACATTTTTGTTTCTAAAATCAAATGAATTATCTGAATAGATCTCTGCAATCTTGTTTTAAGAATTAACGTATATGAATGTGATATTTGATGGGGTTAACATGCTATAGTTTCTCCCCAAATTGGATTTTCCTGAAAGGTATAAAATTCCTTCAGTTTGTAACATGTAAAGTCCCACATGAAGTATTTTCATCCTAGTTTCAAGCAAGTAATCAGTAGATATAACTCGCTACCACTAAATTGTTCATAACTGATACTAATCATTTGGTGTGGTATGGAGTCATGCTCATACACTAGTGGTGATTATTGCCAGATTGATGATGCACTTGTTGGTACAATCTGGAGGGAAATCCATTGCTCTTAAAGTTTTAAATATCACAAGGTGCTTTGATTTTGTTTCAAATTTTTATGCTGCTGCTTCAGTTAGAGATGACAATATTTTAGTGTGGTTTCATAGGTGTTGTCAGTATACCAGTATCCAACATAAATCACTTTTCTAAATAAGTACACTTAGCCATCACGTTAGTAGACTGAATAAAACTTCAAACATCTTACATGCATTTTTCAATAGGAAAGATCAAATAACAAAAGACATTGACAGCAATTTAACTTCTCCTTTGATACCACAGCTGAGATCAGCTGATTTATATGGCTCAAGATCTTCATTGGCCAAAATTTTCCAGTCTCCAAGTTGTTAGAAATATGCGTTTGGAAATGAAACGAAGACCCTGCAGAAGTCCTAATGCACATACATACGTACATAGGACTTGCCCAGGAAATTTAATCTTCTGATGGCCTGATTCTCCATTGTCTGGGATTCTCTGCAAAGTCTCCAGCCCTGAGATCAGGGCAGAGATTGACGCAGATACATGGGACTTAATTGCCTAGAAAATGTTAGACCGGTTTAATGTCTATTATCTGTGTAACTCTATTGAGCAACAAAATCAACCACTCCCCATTAGAACATAGAACAGTACAGCGCAGGAACAGATCTTCAGCCCACCGTTTGCCATTCTAAACTAATCCCACCTATCTGCACATGATCTGTATCCCTCCATTCCCTGCCTGTTCCTGTGTCTGTCTAAATGTCTCTTAAACTCTGCGATCTACTTCTACAAGCCCCCCAGCAACACATTCCAGGGTTTATCACTCTCTGCATAAAAAACTTGCCTCACACATCTCCTCTAAACTTTCAGCCTCTCACTTTAAACCCATGCCTCATAATTTCATCTACTTCTAACGTCACCCCTTATCCTCCCACACTGTAGCAAAAACAATCCAAGTCTATCTAACCTTTCCTTATAACAATGCACTTGTTATAAAGTGGAGGTTGACCCCCCCCCCGCAAGAACTAAAACTGAGAAACACCATAAAAGGAGCGCCTCGCCCCGTACTCTGTTAAAAATGAGTGTGAAAAGTGGTGTAACCTGCCTTTCAGCAACTTCCAGTGGTTAAGTAAAACAAACCCCTGACACTCACTTTTACAATCAACAAGTAACAATTTATTTATCTAACTCTAACAGTGAACAAATTAATTAAATTATTAACAAACCAGATAAATCCCTTGTAACTACTACCTATTTCTGAATAAAACAAGATTCTAACAGTTAGCTGCTCCAATAAATACAATAAAGTTTTCAAAAAATAAAATTTCGTTTCTCGAAATTACAGCCGGGTTATGTGTTTTCTGGAATATTCTGTGCCTTTTCCGTCAATTCTTCTGTAAGGAGTATTAACGAGTTGTGCCGTTGATAGCATTGACTTAGATGGTGTTTTCTCTAAAACTTAGAGAAGACTGTGAGAGCCAGCAATTCTCTCTTGAGAGCCGAGAACTGTTAACTCTGGCAGATGGCAATTCACTCTCCTGTCTTTGCCTAACTGCCCCTTCTTTTATACCCTTGATGACATATCAGGATTTCTTTCAATAGATTGGTCCTATGTTGTCAAAACTGTCAGTCTTAAATTTAATTGGTTTTTGGTATCTAAGTGTGTGGTTCAAATTGATTGGCTAAATTCAAAACCTTATTGTCTTGGTAAAACTGCAGCTTGGCCTGCTAACTATATGGCCTTCTGATACAAATGTTTCAATTCAGGTACTCTCTGTGCACCTGCAAACCCACAAGCTGCTGCCCACAGATATCCAGTTGGAATCTCTAAGCATAGAAAAAGCACATCATCTTTTAAAGGGACCATGCACTCCTTTCTCCCCTAGCATTTTACAAACACCAAATTCGACCTTGGTGCCTCCCAATCCAGAAGTATTCTACCCAACTTGCCAGCACACTCCCGTCCAGGCAGCCTCCTGGCAAACCTCTTTTGCACCCTCTTCAAAGCCTCCAATCTTTCCTATTGTGTTTTGACCAGAGCTATACATTATACTCCAAATGTTTCTCAACTAAAATTTTATACTGCTACAACATGAGTTTCCAATTTTTATACTCAGTGCTCCAACCGATGAAAGCAATTATGCCTTACATCTTCTTTACCACCTTATCCACTTGTGTTGACACTTTGAGGGAGCGCCCCAAGATTCCTTTGTATATCAGTTCTCCTAAGGGTCTTGCAATTTACTGTATACTTTCCTCTTGCATTTAACCTCTCAAAATGCATGAGTCCACACTTGCCAGATTAAATTCCATCTGCCATTTCTCTGTGCAGGTTTCCAACTGATTTATATCCTGCTGTATCCTTTGACAACTTTCTCCACTATCCACAACTCCACCAAATTTCATAGAGATAGTAGGAACTGCCGATGCTGGAGTCTGAAGAAGGGTCCAGACCCGAAACGTCAGCTTTCCTGCTCCTCTGATGCTGCCTGGCCTGCTGTGTTCATCAAGTTCTACACCTTGTTATCTCCACCAATTTTCATGTTGTCTGCTAACTTACTAATCAGACGACTTATGTTTTCATCCAAATCATTTGTATAAATTGCAAACAACAGAGATCCCAGCACTGATCTTTGTGGACCACCACTGGTCAGATGCCTCCAGTCAGAAAAAAACACCCTTCACAACTACCCTGTTGTCTTTTATGACCAACTTACCAACTCGTTGTGAATCCAATGTGACTTAAGCTTCTTGACCAGCCTAGCATGTGGGACCTAGTCAAATGCTTTAGTAAATTTCATGTAGGCAGCATCTACTGCCCTGCCCTCATCAATCAACTTCGTCACTTCTTCAAAAATCTCAAATTTGTGAGGCAAGACCTCCCTTGCGCAAAGCCATGCTGACTGTCCCTAATAAGTCCATTCTTTTTCAAAATGGGAATAAATCCTGGCCTTAAGAACCTTCTATAATTTCCCTACCACTGATGTAGTGTTCACCAGCCTATAATTTCCTGTATTATTCCGATTGACCATCTTAAACAAAGGAATATTGTTAGCTATTTTCAAGTCTCCTGAGACAGAAATTCTCAACAGAAATTAATATCCTTAGACAGCATTTTCCAAATACATGATCAGTTCTATTTAGAAAGACAAGGGGACACCACTGCCTGCAACTTCTCCTCCAAACCATTTATCATCTTGACTTGAAATATATCGCTATTTCTTCGGTGTCATTGGGATAAATTCCTTGAATTTCTTTCCTAACAGCATAGTGGGTCTAAGGCAGCTGAAGGACAACTAGTGTAGGCAATAAATGCTGGCCCAGCCAGCGATGACCACATCTCATAAGAGAATTTTTAAAAAGTCAAATCCGCTGGGTACTCCCAATTACCCAACCTGACTGAGCAACCTGAGTACCCCTCATCCAGCTACCATTTGAACACCCAACTAACTTTCCTGGCCAGACTCTCTTATTTCCACAACCATAGCCCTCTTCCCTGCCCCCTCACACATATCTATTGATTATTTACATGGCTAAAGCCTGACGCCCACCAGTATAATGTGCAGAAATGTAAGGTCATCCACTTTGGTAGCAAAAATAGGAAGGTAGATTATTTGAATGACTGTAAATTAAGAGAGGGCAATGCCTAATGAGACCTGGGTGTCCTCAGTTGTTGAAAGTAAGTATGTAGGTGTAACAGGCAGTAAAGAAGTCAAACTGTATGTTGCCTTGATAGTGGCAGGATTTGAGTGCAGAAACAAGGATGTCTTGCTGCAGTTGTATAAGGCATTGGTGAGGTCACACCTGAAGTATTGTGTGCAGTTCTGGTCTCCTTAACTGAGGAAGGATGTTCTTGCTATAGAGGGATAAAGCGAAGGTTTACTAAGTTGATGCCAAGGATGGCAGGACAGATGTATGAGGAGAGGTAGAGTCGTTTAGGATTTTATTCACCGCGGGCCTAATGCTGGGAAATAGGACTTGAACAGATCGGTGTATGATGACCAGAAAGGACATGATGGGCCAAAATATCTTTTTCCGTGCTGTAAAAACTCTATGACTCTCTTACATTTGATATATTTTAATCTGTAATTGCATATACAAAATTTCTTGCATAGCTTAATGGCTCTATCCAACACTCAAATTCAAGTTTGAAATGAAGCAGTCAAATGAGTACTTGTTCTTTGATATCTGAGTTGAGAAACTGATCATGGGGTTCTTTAGTACAATTCACCACAAACCTACTGGAACTAGTCAGTATACTTGTTGGGATTCATAAGTTCCACATGCTATAAGTTTGGTTTCCTCAGAAAACTCCTAAATAGGGCCTAAGCCATTTGTTCACCCTGCAAACATAATGCTGAAATAGGTGCATCAAAGCCATCTTGTGCGTTTAATAGTTACCCCAATCAGACAATTTCGTGCTGCCCATTGCAGCAGCTCATTAACGGCCATAAGGTGGTCATTCTTGGTGCTAAAAAATGTCCAGTCTTCCTCACATTACTGTGGAAGGGTAAGGTATCTCAACAGTTTGAGCAGCTGGTGAAGCTAGCCACTTCACGCTGTTATTATTCAGTAGCAACATGAGAGGTGTTTGCCATTAACAGAATGCTGCTGTTAAGCCAGAAAGGTGGCCACGCTATCATAAAGTTAAATAAAATAGCATCTGAATTTAGGTGCCATTATGGTACCAAGTATGTAAGTTCACAGTACCCAAACAGCCCATGCTTGCAAAATGTGCAGCAGTGTCCAACATTAGATGTAATTCTGCAATTTCCTGAATAATCGTGAATGTCAGAAGAATTGCACTGACAACCAATTTAGGATTGTTCGTTAGGCTTGCAGTATGGTGCACTTGCACATATTGGAAGCTACATACATATAACCCTGTTTTTCGCAGCCAGAAAGAACATGTACACACACTGTGCCTGTTGCAACTCAGCATAACAAGTAACAGCCAATTGATGCTTCTTTTCTCAAGGCAATCCCTGAGCAATCAGAGACCAGTCAGTTTGGCAGTTAACTCTTGATCATCATTAATTGTTGCATCCTCCATGGCAAACTTCTGCTAATCAAAGTCCACTTGCCAACTAAGCAACACTGTCCTTTATGCAACATAAGTGTTCTCACCCATTGAATTTTTTTTCACCTGAATTATTTTTGTAACTGTAAGATGAGAAATTTCAATAAAATGTTTCTTTTTTACAGTAATATTTTTGCAATTGTTATTGTCAACAGAAAAATATTCTTAGCTTGTGCATAACAGTTACCATTATTTGTTTAGAATTGATGGAGCAATACAAAACTATCTCCTGTTGAAAACACACAAGTAAGAACTACGCTCAGAAGAATTTCCTCAAAAAATTCTTTACTCCCAGATTTCTATGTTTTATTTTAATTTTCTTCACACTGGTATAGGATCACCCAAGAGACTCTCCTCCATGTCTGAGCTTAGTTAACCAGTGTCTCCACCTAGATAGCAAGTATTGGCAGACTACGGCACAATGATGATATCACAGATGAGTCTAATCCTGTCCTCAGTCAACACCTAAACATGAACTTTCCAATGAAAGTGAAAGCCGCCATAGACTGCTTTTCTATGGATGTAGACAGCTGTTGGTGAGTTTAACCTGATGAACAGCAAGTGAAAGGCAAGGTTGAGAAGATGGGGACTTCATGTGACCACATTCAGTATGGGAATTGAATCAGTGCCGTTGGCATCATTCTTCAGCATGAATAGCCATCCAGCCAACTCCATGCCAAAAGAAAGCAATTATATCACCACCTGTAATTCTTTGACCAAATTTAATACATTCTAGGATTCATAAATGAGATTATCTAGTTTCATTTCTCACATTTTTCACTATGTCAACTGGAAACTTTCCAGTGTTTATCATAATAATTGAAATAAATTGTGTATAGGCTACCCATCAGTCAACGGCAATGCCAGCTACATTGCCCGCAATTTCTTTTCTGAATCAACAATATGGATATGTCCCTTTCTTCAGCAGTTTTATGGCCAAAATCTTTGTAACAAATGAGTGAAAGGTGAGTAATTGAATGGGTGAATCAGTAGGTCTGTAGGCGGGGGAGGTGGCTACATCTGCCATGCATTTGCCCACTCACTTAACCTGCCCAAAACAGTCTGCAATATCACTGCAGCTCACCGTCACAGCTCAGCCACCCACCAGCTATATGTCACTTGCACATTTTGGGATATTTGGCTCCTTCATCTAAATCATTAACATATATTGTAAATAGCTGGGGTCTTCATACCAAACCCTGCAGTATCCCACTAATCACTGCCTGCCATTCAAAAAAAGACCTATTTATTCCTACCCTTTGTTTCTTGAATGCTAACCAGTTTTCTGTCAAGCTCAGTACACTACCCCTAATCCTATGTGCTTTAATTTTACATATTAATCTCTTATGTAGCACTTTGTCGAAAGTTTTCTGAAACCTCAGCATCCGGCTGTGCACACAGATTGCGATTTCAATCCTTAATGGGCCCTACTCTTTCATAATTATTCTTTTCCCATAATATACTTATAAAACATCTATTGATTTTCTTTAATCACTCACCAGTGATTTTCATGTTCCCTATTCACTCTCCTAATTTCTTTTCTAAGTAACCCACTGCACTTTCCATACTCCTTTCAGTTAACCATTGTTTTGATCCGTCAACATAAACTATATTTTTAACTTTTGTGTATTCCTGTACATACCTTAACAGCCAAGGTTATCTGGACTTGTTGATCCCACCCTTCATTTTTATGGAAATGTGTTGGCTTTGCACTGTCACTATTACCCCTTTGAATGATATGGATATAGATTTCCTGATATGGATTTTCTTGTAAATAGCTGCTCCTAGCTCACTTTGGTCAGATCCTGTCTTATTATATTAAAATTGGCCATCACTCCCAATTCAGAACCTTTTTTCTCATGTCCATCTTATGGTCACTATATCAAAATGCAGCCCCCCGCCCTGCCCCCACGCCTCAACCTCTATCACTTGCCTGGCTTCATTCTCTAAAATTAGGTTCAGCTTTGCCCTTCTGTTGTAGGACTTTCAACATGCTGGCATAGAAAGCTCTCCTGGACACTTCTTAAAAATTCCACTTCCTCTAAGCCTTTCACACTTTGTTCATCCCAGTTCATGTTGGAGAAATTGAAATCCTGTACTATTATTACATTGTTACTTTTTATACTTCTGAGATTTGCCTACTTATCTCTTTGTATCTCTTCCTGACTGCTTGGCATCTACATATCAGAAATATTCCAGGGATAGAAATTTCATTGTCATTCCAATGAAGACACATTTCTCATGGAATCCAGCAAAGGTTTTTATAAAATGTTTCTATGGAACGCCACATCTTTGAAATTTGTACTACAGGCTATAACAGTACAGTTCCAACAGACTACTTCAGAATTGCTACTAGGAAAATTATCTGAGAAGAATAAAATTTGTGTTCTGAGGTTTTAACTCGGCCTATTAGAGTTTATACTAAATAGGGTTGAATTATTGGATTATTTCCTGTAGCATAACAGTTGTTTGCTCTGGATTCCCTCCCAGTTCCAGCTCAACCAGCCGAATTCCAAGCTGAAGCAGAGTCTGATACTAGCATTGCACTCTCCTGGGTGTTACGTCAACAAGAGAAAATTACCAAATATGAACTAATATACTCTGAGGGCATTGATGGAAAAGAGGTATGTTGGAGTCAAAACTCATGGAGTAATGAATTATAAAGAGCATACAAAACTCTTCCTGAGTTAATAAGTGACAGAAGTAAAAATGTATTGTATATTTTAATACTCCATGCAATTTTATTTTAATTTAGAGATGAAAGTCCAGTGAAAATAGGCGTCATAATGCCCCAGTTTCCCTTTTATGCGCATTACTTAAATTACAGAAAATACTCAGTCCTTTACCCCTCCTTGCTCCTTCTCGCTGCAAGATAGCTGCTGTATAATTGTTATAGGAGCTCATAAACTGGCTATGATTCTGCCAAGTGGCATGTTTTCATTAGTGAACTTAAGCAGTGAATTTTTGGCTATTAAGTTTTAGGAACAATCGTACCTGAGCCCAATCTTGGCCCCTACGACCAGTAGGGATCTTTGAACTTGGGATTTGAAACACTTGAATCTTAACAATGGTTTTTTGTCTTTCTCATCCAGGAGTCTGTCTTCCCCAGTAATGCTATACAGTCTAATTCAACAGAGATTTGAGTTTGAACCTGATAAACATCTGAAAGAGAGTGGATGAGGAATTTAATGTAGTTTTAATAAAAGCTTCGCAAGCTCAAACATTTAAGAAAATGTAAAAGATTGCGTAACAGTGAAAGTTACTATGTTACATTCAAAAAGTTCATCAGTATGATCTTCAGTATGAAGATTAGGATGTTTAACCACATGTAGGGAAACCTTTGAATGATTAAACAATTTACTCTGTTAGGAATTGAAACACCTCTTTCTTTGCAAAATTGAGTAACGAGTGGTCAACTAGACTTTTTTAAAAAGATGATTATGGTGTCCTAAACAAAGCAGATGCAATTGTTATGCTCTTAAATTTTGAGAAAATCTTTGACAGATTTCCACCTTCGTGATTAATAGCTCATGGATGAATCCATGAAAGGGGAGGTTAACCATAGCCCTAGGTCAATAATCATTTAAAGGAGGAAATGGAGGACAGACTGACATAGAAACTTTTATTCCCATTAGATTTAGCACTTACAATCTGTTTTTCCTAAATTTAAGAAACTAAATTAGATGCCATATAATTTAAACCAGCCAACTACAGAACTTGTTTTTCAAAAGTATAATCTGACTACTACTAATCCACTCATCACACTAATTAGTTGTATGAATTTGTTAGACTATTACTCGAATTGTATTTTGGCATGTGCAACATAGGGATCAAAGAAAATCCCAACTAGGGGCAATAGATCAATTAATGTTTTTAAAACTCATTCTGTTTTCATTGTATTATTTACAGGAACAAGTGATCTTTGACCCTAAATCTTCATACATTGTGGAAGGCCTGAAACCAGATAAAATGTACTACTTCCGTTTGGCAGCACGATCAGATCATGGTTTAGGAGCATACACACAAAAAATTTCTGCAAAAACCATGCAATCCAGTAAGTTTTTGAATCTCTATCATGGTTTGTGCCAGTTTCAAGTTTAGGGAACACCACGAAAAGACTGGTAAGCCACTGACATTTGACAATGCTGCTCAATTTGTTTATTTAACAAACGTTCACTCCTAAGTCCTGAAGGAATCATTGTACAAATCTTCAGTTCCTATTAATTTAATCAAAATAATCAAGTGAAAATCTGAATGAAGGCATCCAGTTAAATACTACATCAAAATAGAAAAATAGATGCTTGATACATTTACAGTGCTGTGGTATAGTGAACACATTTTAAGACATTTTAAAACACATTTGAAACCTAATATTGTTCAATAAATGTAATATATTCCAAGCCAACTACTTTTATTGTTTTTTGATGTGCACAACCTTCCCATCTGTTATTTAGGTGTTGCTTTCCAGAGACAGTAAGTCCCTGTCTAATGTTGCTCTGTTTACTGTTGTTTTGCTTTAACTGCGGTAAGTTAATGGGGCATGTAATCTAGTTGAACACAGAAGGAATATTTTTAGCATAATATTGCATGTGACCAATTGGTACCATCTTAAAGAGGCCTCTTCAGCTCTCTAATCCTGTGCTGTAATCCTGTGTGTTGTGGTTTCTCCTTATCCCTCACCCACTGTCTTTGAGGCTGTTACCCATTCTGATCCTCCAACTTGAAGCCTGTGCCCATCCCCATCTTCTGTTTGTAGCCCCTCCCTGACCTCATATTTCAGACCTTTTCCTGTACCAGGCCCTCTGACTTGCAGCCACTGTCCCTCCCCAATTCACCTTCTTGTCCATTCTCCCCACTGCACTCAGAATCTCTTCAAGTTCCCAATCTTTTGCAAGAGCTCTGGGGTTTGAGAGTGCAGGTTGCAATGATGCAAAATAGCCCAAATCTACCTAGTATGATCTATAATTTTATTAAATGCTCTCACTTGCTGCTTCTCCCATGCCCTTCTTGTCAGTGATGGCTTTGGAGATGAGCAGTGCTAGTGAGAGGTAGAAAAAGTAGCTTTTATGGAAATTTAATTTACAAAATGATTGTAACGGCCCCAGCTCAGCACTCCCACACCATTAGCATTGCACTTTACATCTCTCAAGCTCTGGCATATGACAATATGTAGGCAGACAAGAAAGGATTTGAGGAGTATGACAAGCTAAATTTTTCTTCCAGAGAATGGCACAGGCGTAACAGGCCAAGTGGCTTCCCTCTGCTCTGTAAGAATGTTATAAGATGAAGCAAAATTCAAACTAAACAACGTTGGTAATATATGTTCATTGCATTAGAAGGTTCAGAAAAGATTCATTCAACTGATTCCGGGAATAAAGGAGTTATCTTAGGAGGAAAGACTGGACAGAAATCCTGGATTGTTTGGAGTTTATAGCTCTCCTTTCTTTCCTGTGCTATCATTTCTGATCATCTTATCATCAGGCATAGTTATTAATTTTTACCTGGTCCTGTCCTTTTCCTGAGCCAAACATTCATTATTGCTTCAATATATGTCCTATCTATTCAGTCTTGAGGAGATGTTTTTGTTAAATTATTGTTAAGAATGTTGGCTAACAATTGTCGCCATGATATTTCACACTTCACAAATTCAGTTACTATTAGTTATAACTCATTAATGGTTTATCAGTATAGTTTGAAAAAGCTTAGCAACCAAGTGTATATCAACAGTTTTGATCACAAATCTGATTTTGTAACTTTCAAGAGTATGTAATTGTGTAATGTCTGTATTTTTTAAACTAAAACACATCCAATAGGCAACAATTGGGACAATGTTCTCTTAACATTACACCAAGCCATGTTAGCCATTGGGTTTCCTTCAGTAATTGCTTATGTATATGGACTTTATAGGATTGCCTTTCTCCAGTTACCTGTGACAAGTCATTCTATTAGCTGTATAATTTTATGAAGGTTAAATTTGCAACTTAATTGTTAAATAGTATCTTATAGTAGTAGTGCATCTGACATGAAAACACTCATAATTAGTTGAAGAAAATAGCAAGGCAGCTGGGCAGTAAAATGAGCAGTATATTTTAAGAATTAGACCTAACTTTATACAAACCATTGAGTTGCAAACCCACTACAGCTCACTGGTTTAGGTCAGTGCAATATCAAGCAGCCAGAGACCAACCCAACCTGTACATAAGTAGGTCGGGAAGGGAATGCTGTCTCCAGTTCTGAGTATTTTTCTTTAATTTTTTCATGCATATGGATGTCGCTGGCAACGCCAGTGTTTGTAGCCCATCGCAAATGACCCTTGAATTGAGTGGCTTTTTGGGCCATTTCAGAGTACAGTTAAGAATCAGCCACATTACTGCGGCTCATTGTGTAGGCTAGACCAGGTAAAGATAGCAGATTTTCTTCCCTGACAGACATTAGTTAACCAGCTGGATTTTTACGACAGCTGACAATGGTTTCATGGTCACCACTACTGAGACTAATTCCAGAATTATTCATGGAAATTAAATTTCACCAGCTGTGTTGGTGGGATTTGAATCCTTGTAGCCAAAGTGGGGGTGTTGAGTCTGGGGTAGAAGCATCCCAAGATTTATTCCTGTGGAGTTTCTTGTTGTCTAACGAAAATAATTTTGTACATTTACGTTTGTAGCCTTCTTCCTTTTGCATGCCTAAATTTTAATAACACACTCGCAACACATGTTTCATCCCATAGATATTTATTTAATTGTTCACTTGTTGTTGCCAGGAGTGAGCCAGCACAATGCACTGCGTCATAAATTTCAATACCCTTCTGTCACTACCTTCACAGGACAGGCTCTTCTACTCCATTATCATTTCAGCGTCCATTCAAACTCTTCCACACACTTTTTCACTGCCTCTAGATCTTGACCTTGACCCCTATCCTTTGTCTCCAGTTTCACTTGTTTTGGAGGAAAGAGGACTCATCTAATTTATTTTTATTTCATTAAACCTTAATTTGGACAGATAAATATTTCAGAAGGGTAAAAAAAAACACTTAAGCATGGCTTAGAAGGCATTTGGAGAGAATTATGACAATCCAGTACATAGATTGCTTAATCAGAATGATAAATTTAGGATGTCATTTTCTATTATAAATTAGGATTTGAGATGCCACGTGATTTTTGTAGTTGAGATGTATTTAAATTTTCTTTTCCCCTATCATTTTTATTAACATATCATTTATGGATTCTAAGGGTTTATGCTGTGACTCAAGATTGCTCCAGGCATCTCTTTTCTACTGTTGTATTGGTTCTCTAAATTAAGAACATCTTCAGTTAGTCATCAAACTGCAATTATTGCTTTCCCCCAGTAACCAGAACCTGCGTTCTTCTTGTAATGCAATTATTGGAATCAATATATTTTGTTCTCTTTTGCATTCCTACAAGATTTTTACAACTTGACCCACCCAGTATTTTACTTTAGACTCTATCCATTATCCTTCAAATGTCTTTATTGGCATCTTATGTTCTCCAAGAAATATCTCAAATTCCATTTATTTCTGAAGGGTTCTTCAAGTGTTCATGTTTACTTTTTATGAGGTATTGCTACACACAAAGGTTGCATTTATCCAAGACTTGAGCTTACTCACCATAGATAATCCGGGACAAGAATTACACCTAGTAGGAAGCGCTGTACTACTGCCTCCATAGGTCCACAAAAGCTGGAAATCAAAACCGACCTTTTAGAAAACTGTGATTTATCCACTGAGGTTACAACATTTTTCTCTTTCTGTTAGATTTCCATTATCTATTTGCCACAGCTTCTTTAAACATTTTTCTCTTATCTCCGTGACTTCAAAGTGATTCTGTGCACCTTGCATTGCAAACTTGCTGTGATGAAATTGAAACTATTGTTTTGGTACCAAATTTCACGTATTAGTTTTCATGAAAAAAATGAACTTCTTGCCGCCTTCAGGCTCTCAGTCCTCCTACAGATTTTTAGTCAATGCAAAACTAACTTTACGCCATCTAAGCAAGTATTCTTCATTATATAGTTTCTCTCATTTCACAATCTTTTCAAAAACCTCTGCTAAAGGCCTTGACTTTTCAAGACAAATTTCTTAATTTAAAGATCAAATTGGTATTCCTGCAAGGACAATGGAAAGCAGTGAGCAGTGGCAGATTGCTGGCACCTAAAGCTGAGTTATAAATTATACTTCAAATCTAGCCATATTCAATGAGACGGTGGCATTTCTAATTTGGGGACCAGCTACCTCGTGATAATTAAGAATCTACACATGTGCTTGAAAATAAATCCATTTAGTACATTATCCTGAAATATTACTTTATGATCTGGTGGTATAGTTATCATGCATGTGGAGACCTGATGAATTTCTTGGTCCACAGGCTCCTCCCAAGCACTGACACAGACAGTATTAATTGCATTCTAGTAGTATATACAATTTCAATGAGATACAGTAAAATTGGTGCTCCGCTGTAGTCAGATAAGGACAGGATTAGGTTGACATTTAGGCTTAATTTTTGGAAGACTTAATCTGTGTGGGCTGATTAAAGAATATTAGCTCATGTTCAAGAATGGATGAGTTGTAATATATATGTACAGGCAACATAAATTGTCCATATTATATGCACTGAATCATACCACTTCAGCTCTGAATAAAGCGCAGAATAATTAATGATGTATTCTATACTATTTAAGGTAGGTACATTGCATGAATGTTCAACATTTAATTTCTATATTCTTTATCCTGCCATAAAATTATTTTACTGTATTTCTGCATGACCAAATGTTAACATTTAGTAAGATTAAACCTTAAAACACAAGTTAAAATTTTGAATTTCTTTTTGCTGTCAGCATGCTTTTTTTGTTTTAGTACATATTTTCTGGTTAGTCTTTTGCCATCTTATTTCATTCATTACCCTTCATACCCCTTCATTTATCCACTAGCCCCCTCCGCTCCACCTCAGGATGTCCATGGATTTTCTATCAGCTCCACCAGCATTCGGGTAAGTTGGCATCCACCACCAGCAAACAGTCGTAATGGCGTCATTACCAAATACTCCATTATATATCAAGCGGTGGATAGTGAGGACAACGGAAAGCATGTTTTGGACAACATTGAAGCAGATGCAACCAGCTCAGTAATCGAGGACCTGGAGAAGTGGACTGAATATCAGGTGTGGGTAAGGGCTCACACCAATGTTGGGCCAGGTCCGAAGAGCACACCTGTGAGTGTCCGCACTGATGAGGATGGTAGGTCATTTTGAAATCAAATTAAAGTAGTTTCATATTGTGGTACCCCTTTCACCATCTTCTCAAAGACAAACATTTTACGAAACATCTGAAGGCTGCTATAATTTCATAAATTGTTTCACTGTAATTGTAGTGTTCAATAAAATATGTTACAGATAAATGAATTTGGTACATAACAATATGATCATAGTTTGCTCTCCCATATTTTTCATGCAACAAAAAACATAAGACCACCTGCAGTTCACAACAAATGTTTAATTTCGGGTGTCTTAATAAAAAAAAAAAATTCTGGATAATTAGTGATCAGTCTATTAGCAAAGGGGTACTGCAGTTCCTTTCATTGATATTTAAAAAAATATGTTTCTAATTGTATTTAGAATATATTCCTTTGTATTTTCACAAATATGTTTATTATTATATTTATATAATATTAATTAATCTCATCTACAAAAATGAGAAATATAATTTCATCAGTAGTATCATGTAAAAATCAATATTCACATCATCTGTTGCTGATTCATTTTCAGTTGAAAATGACAATGTTAATAATTGAACCAGGGATTTTGTCCCTAACTTATTTCTTGGTGTTTGATCTATTGAATTTGGAACACCTGAATACGAAGCAAAATCTACCGTTGATTCACAATTACTCTGAGATTGTGGTATACAAAGCTGTTGAATGTATATTTACCACTACCTACTTTGATTGGATGTGTACGTTGCTGGCTGGATCAGCATTTAATGCCCTTCCCAATTTCCCTGAAAAAGTGACGGTGAAATGCCTTTTTGAATCACTGCAGTCTTTGGGTTGTAGGTACATATAATGCTGTTGGGAAGGGAATTCCAGGTTTTTGGCCTGGGAATAGTGAAAGAATGACAACATAGCTCCAAGTCAACAGTGGCTTTGAGGGGAACATGCAGGTGATGGTCCTCTCATGTCTGCTGCCCTAGAGTTTGTAGGTTTGGAAGCTCCTGTTAAAGGAATTAAGAGAGTCGTTGCAACGCATATAGTACACACTGCTATGTCGATGCTGAAGGGTGTGAAAATGAAGGTAATGGATGGAGTGCCAATTAAGCTGGCTACTTTGTCCTATGATGTAAAGCTTCTTGACTGTTGTTTGAGCTGCGGCAGTCCAGGCAATTGGAGAGTGTTTGATCATACTTGTACCTTACGGATTATTAAGGAACATTCAGCTGAAAAGTCTCTGCATTCTATCTCTTCCTGAAAACTTATACACCCTAATCAGCCACAATAGCTATCCAATTCTTTTTTTAAATGTCTGCCTCCTTAGCTAGTACATTCCAGATGATCATCACTTTGTACACCAAGCAGCTAAACATTTCTGCACCATTTCTTTATTAAGCTTTAGAACATGGCCCTTTGTTTTAAAGTTTGTCATTATTACTAACATTTATTATTAGTGTTCATTTTATCACTCAATTATTTTGAATGTCTGAATAATAAGACCTCTTGGCTTTCTGTTCTCCAGAATAACCAAGTTGAGACGCTTCAACCTTCTGATATTGCATATTGTTCTGGATTTTATTGAGAAAAATGTTAATAAGTTCTCCATTCTTTTTGTTGGTGGTGTGGAATGGAATGAGGAATGGGGATTTTAGAAAATGGTCGATAGTGGTGAAAAGAAGCCAGGGTTATCTTTACATTACAGAAAGATGCTGGAGTAGTGAGCAGCTTTTACAGAAGAGAGCATGCCCAGCAATGTTTTAAGTGTGGCTAAGTCAGTCATGTGCCTTAAGTGTTGAAACCTACCTCCCACAGACATAAGTTAGCAAAGACTGAGATCATACAAAGGGGAGTGATCAGAATGGGTGAAAGTAAGAGAGCAAAGACAAAAAAAAAGGAAATGAATTGAGCACTTTGGCCACAAAACTTCTACAGCTACCAATAGAAGACCGTAGTCAAGGATTATAGGGGGCTGACAGGAAGGTGAAATTGAGACTACAACCAGATCAGTCACAATCTTATTGAATGTTGAAAGGGTGAATAGTTCATTCCTGCTCCTAAACCCTAATCTCAAATAAAAGACTTGAGGTTTCAAATGCCATTGTAAGCAACTTTTGGGAGACTTATTCCTGGAGAAGTAAACTAAAAGAGGAATTTATTGGTGGAGAATATAAGGAAATGAAGAATAATGCCATTGTTTGTGATTAAAAAATGAGTAGACCAATTCACATGGACAATAGGGAGTCTGTAAAATCAAGGAAACAAAGTTAAGGGTGATTTGAGATATAGATAGAAATCACCATAATGCGAAGTCTTTTGATCCAGAGGGTGAATGCAGAAAGCAGAATGAATATCTTGGCAAGATGCTACTAAGATAATTTGGAAGGCCATGTAGTAGAAAGTGTAACTAGGTGGAGAAACGTTAGAAAACAGGATTGTATCATCACTCAAAGCTATTAATTTTGTTGCAAACTATTGATTTGAGACATTTCCAACCATGGAAATTAAACCAACTAATCTGCAGGTTGCAATCTGCAAGCTAGATATACCTGGTTATAAATAAAGAATAAGGATAAGGCAATAAGAGTGAGTCAGAAGTTAAATTTAGGATCCTATGCTGTGACAAAGATAATTTTTGGATAGAATCGACTTAGAGCACTGATGCATACAATCAGTGAACGTGAGTGAATCCAGGAATTGTTTGAAGTGAGAGTATTAGTTTGTATTCTGGTGAAAGTATTTCCGTTAAAGATTTGAGATTCAAGCAAGTGTTGAGTATTGTCTACGACCCATCATTGCATAACACAGGAGCTCAGCAGAGTAAACAGTGGTTTTGGTGATTAGAACTGCACACCATCAGTGAGGAACCAGGTGAAGTCAGATATAATAGGAAGCAGGCAGAAAGCAGTACAACAAAGATGTTTGCAGCACTGGAGCAGAATCCTCACAGCAAGATGAGATTCTGCAGAAACAGATCAAAGATAGCTCAATTTAGATTGAAAACTTTCTGGCAGATGAACATAAAATCGAGAGCACAGTAGAAGTACAAGTACCAGAATAAACATGTGTAGAAAACTGTCCCCATGTTATGTTCACTATATGGGCCGATAGCAGTGGAGAAATTGACTTTTATCAATAAGAAGTGACTTTCTGCCGAGAATCCACAGGAACATAGAGTTGAAAAACCATCAGTTCACTGAGATGTAATCAGTGGAACTGTTAGGTTACAGATGGGTTGTAGGCCAGAAAAATGACTTTGAAATTTGAGTTAAGTCTTATTATTTGGTCCTAGAGAAAAAAAATGTGGTGATTGAAAGAATTTTAAGGAGTTATGTCTTTTTAAAACTTACTTAAGTTATGAGATTGATGTAGTTGCCAGTTGCCGTCAGAAGTGGCTGTTTCAGGTCTTCAGAATTTTTCATAGTATAACTATAGGAGGCTTTTGCAAATGCGTGGAGTTTAGTTCTATGGAAGAAACCTCTAATGAGTATTAAACTTGGAATTTTGAGACTGAGGAATAGGTTCACCTCTGGTATTTTAAAACATAAAGAAGCAGTGCCCTGAGTGAGGAAGCAGGATCTGGGAACAGCTGAGAGCTGAGCTCTAGAGACATAAAAATTTATAGATTAAATAAATTACTAACTATATCTATCAGAAGATATCGGGTTTTGTTTCAGATCATCAACGGGCTGCTGAAGACTTGTAAGTCCTGCACTATGTAGAAACTTCAAGACTGTTCATGTGGCTTGGAGACTAAGTGCAGAATCTTATACAGTCTTGAATGACATGGGCTATTGTGAGATTTGTTGCACATTTGGATGAGAAGTCCAGTTGTTAATCTCAACCTTAGGAGGATCTCACTTCACTTGTTATGCTTTTGACAAGTGACAGAGCAAATTTCTTATCAGGCAGCAGTGAGTTGCCAGTTCTCGCTTGTTAAGTACCTTATTAATGGCCCAAGTCCCCTCATTCTTGTTCAGGTTTCTATTCTTAACAAATGCATCAAACAAACTAGATGTCTGGAACACTCGACACGGCAATCGAAGCCAGTGAATTTAGCTTACTGCTTTCCCTAACAGATTTGGAAGGATATTATCAAGCTGGAGAGGGTTCAGAAAAGATTTACCAGAATGTTGTTGGGAATGTAAGATTTGAGTTATAGGGAGAGGCTGGATAGGCTTGGATTTTTTTCACTGGAGTGTAGGAGATTGAAGGGTGATATAATAGAGGTTTTTAAAATCATGAGGGGTATAGACAAGGGAAATGGCAGGTGTCTTTTCCCTAGGGTGGGGAATTTCAAGACTAGGGGGCATATTTTTAAGGTGAGAGGTAAAAGCTTTTTAAAAAAGACATGAGGGGATCTTTTTTACACAGAGAGTGAGTGGTTTGTGCATGGAATGATGGAGTAGGGTACAGTTACAATGTTTAAAAACATTTGGATAAGTACACAAATAAGAAAAGTTTGGAGGGATATAGGCCAAGCAAGTCAGGTGGGACTAGTTTAGTTTGGGATTATGATCAGCATGGACAGGTTGGACTGAAGGGTTTGTTTCCATGCTGTATGGCTCTATATCCAAGCTTCTCAGGGGATGATCCAGGATACCAGCTACGTGCACTCCCCATCAATGTACACTGGCATGTTGTATTTGCCAACCCCTCAACCAGCACAGCATAGACTTGCATTCCAGCGTGCACCAGCAAAGAGCACTGAAAGGCTACTGCAGAGACACCTTGTGACCCCAGCAGGCATGCAGCTAAGATTTGGATCTTAAGGACTGAATGCGTGCTCACGTAATGTCTGTCTTCATGTTCACATTGTCCATGCTTTGCCTTGCTGTGCCATTTAATGCACTGGCACAACTAGACAGCTTGCCTGACTGTTTAGCAGTCCTCAGTTAAGGCAGCATACATCATGCTTAATGTCAGTGTGTTACGACAGTGTCACACCTGCTCTATGTGATAACAGCTTCCTTAGTAAAAACACTGCATGTGCAGCAAGCAAGCAGTTATGTCTGAAAGTCTTAGTGAAGTAGCCTTCACTGAAGTCCATGGTGGCACTTATCAGTCAAGAGCTGTGGCTCCACAGCAGCCATTCTGTGGGTAGGCTCATGTGGTAACGGAGACGTACAACCCCCAGTCAGAAGTCTGGCACTTGTGCTATGGGATTATCTGGTTAGGTTGCTCATAGCCATGGTCAGTCCATAAAGTCCGTCCACAGAAACTAAGAGGAAAGGGAATGGAAGAGAAAGAGACCAGTCAATTACAGCATCACACAGTTAGACTAACAGAATGGGCAGATCAGTGGCAGTTGAAATGTAATACACAGAAGTGTGCAGTAATACATTTTGGTGGAAGAGATAGGAAGAAACAAAACAGATTTAATGGTACGGTTTAAAAAGTGATATGTGGCCTACTGGTTAGAAAGATTTTACAGTAAAATTTAACTGTAATACCTAAGTCAATTACAATTATAGATTGAGTTTGAGAGAAGCAATCTAAAGGTTTACTGGTCCTATTAGTTACAAGACCCATTCCAGGTACAAATATGTTTTCCCAGGTTTACAATTTTTATGGAATTTATTAAGTTTATCCTAACAAGTGGAAAAGAAATGACACTTAATAAAAGCAGTCGTTTCTCAGTCGATCCATTTGGAAATACCAGTAACGCTGGTTTCTTGTTCTGTTCTGTTGACTGAAGTTGTCCTTCTATCTTCGGTCTTCCTTTCTTGTCCAACGAGTCATGAAGAATGACTACTTATTAACCACTGCTAACTACTACACTCTGCGTATCATCAGAGACATCCTAAACTAATAGGCTTGTCAGTAAATGAAGAGATCATGGCCAGTCTTGGGTGGGAGAAATAAAATCCAAAACATCATTCCTGATTGGTTTCTTTAAAAACAATGTTCCTCTTAGTGATATCACTTCCTACTAAGTCCTGGTTCAGTTTTTGACATGCTGATCACTGTGTATGATTGTTCCTTTGTAATAGCTTGTTGCTTATAATATACCAACTTCATAGATCTTTTCCAAGATAAAGTGGCACCAGTAAGCCTATTTATTTATCAAAGTGGCACCAGTAAGCCTATTTATTTATTTGTCCAGAGAATGTAATGTCACCTCTTAGTGATTAACTATCATCCCAAATGTCTCAGTGAAAACTTCTAAAAAGGTTGAGACAACTACAAAATTCACTACAAAGTCTAATTCCAGAGTAGAATATATATATACATTCACAGTTATATCTATAAGCTTATTATATGCTTTAATTTACAAAACTGTACTCTGAGTAAAAGCCTTTTACCTCGAAGCAGTCTCACGTGTGTTAATCTAAGTTATTATTTGCTTGGGCTATAAAAGTAACTATAAACGCAAACCTTGCTTTTCACCTGAATCATATGGCTTTCTTCCTTAGAGAAACTGTGAGCATAGTTAAAAAAATATATAATTTAATTTGTGACTTGCTTAACCAAAATGATTGGTTATTGAAAAATAGCTCAAACCTACAGGTTAATGTATATAAAACTTTGAACATGCATGACATATTGACACAACAGTAAGCCATTCGTATGGAATCTTGGACCTCAGAAGTGAAGGTGTTGAGTGCAATAGAGGGAAGTTATGAACCGTATAAGGTGCTTGAGAGGGTACTGGGGGGGACTTACCAAAACGGTTTCAGGAATAAGGGAATTTTAATTACAAGGATAAATTGAAGGTGCTAGACTTGTTCTCCTTGGAGCAAAGTAAGTTGAGGGAAAATCTGGAAGATGTGGTTAAAGATGACTTCATGAGAAAGAAAAGCTGTGCCTATTAGCTGATGATACAAGGAATAAGGTACAAGTTTAAAGTTTTGGGCTAGACATAGAGAGATACGGAAGTGAGAAAGAACTTCTACACAGCAAGCAGTCATCACGTGGAATTCACTGCTTACAAGGGTGGTCCAAATGGAGACAGACAATGATTTGATTTCCGAATGAAATTGGATAGATATTTGAAGGAAATAAACATTCAAGGTTTGTGGGATAGAGTGGGGGAATGAGACTGCCTAGTTTGCTCAGTAGAGAGCTAGCATGAATTTACTAAATAGCCTCCTTCTGTGCTGTTATGACTCAATTTAAATTTCTTTGAATTTAGTTTATGTGTTCCCATATTGCTTAATCACTTGCCCCCAGTTTGTTGCTAGCTGTTTGTTCACTCTTATGCCAACTCATTTCACACCCTTTTATCAATAATTAATCCAACCCTGATTCTTGTGGCATCTTGACAATCATAACCATTCTTTTGTCTGATATATTTAATTTCCAAACTTTATACTGTACTTTCTACATTTTGGAGTAATTAATTATTCCATGATATCAGATATCTTACTGAAATCTATCTGTAAAATTTCTCTTGTCAATGGGTCCATCATTGAAGAATTTTGGTATAATTGCAATGGAAAGCTCCCTTCCATAAATCCACATTTTCTTCTTTTGTCAGTTCGTCTAATTGCTATTTTATACCCTTTCCAGGAATATCTTCTATCACTTCACCTATGATAGATATAGATTTCAGTGAGCTCTACTTTTCTGGAATCTTCTTACCTAATTTTCTATTCTAAATCTTGTGTCTGGTTTCTTAACCTCCTGTACTTTATTAATCTTGGTTTCACCACCATGTATATGCATCATCAATTGCTTTACACAGTAATTATGTTCCTTCTCTTTTATGCTTCCGGTAGCATTTGAAATTTTTATTTGCTTGAATTACTTTTTTAAGCTTCTACTGTGCCTTACTATTGATTTAACGAATTAATAAACCCCAATATTCAGTATTGTCATTCTTTTAAGACTATGTTCGAGATTAACCCTATTATTGAATATCAATCCCCCAGCCCCTTCTGTTCTGATTTTGCATTAGGTGGTTTAGTACTTACTGAAAGATGTAATATTTCAAACACGGCTTTGTACATGTAGGGAAAAAATTATACTCTATGTTGGAAGTTGGTACTACATTGAAAACTGATTTATGCTAATCGTGCATTTAGAATCCACGAGTGCTTACATACTACATAGAAAGAGAAATCCTGTTTCTCAATTGTTCCAACTTTTGAGTTTTTATTCTTTTATCGGATGATTGTTGTTTGCAAGACCAGCATTTCTTGACAGTCTCTAATTACACTTGATAAGTCAGTGGTGAACTTATTAAATTTATCTGGCTATATGGTAATTTTTTAACAAATTATTCACTATCAAATTGAGTCTGTATCGTAACTGTCAATGATAAGCAGAGAATGCCAAAAGCAATGTCACATAGCAAGTTTCATTGATGAAATTAAAATTCCAATTGTTAAGCATAGCAATTAGTCATCATGGAAAAAGCTCATAACTCTCCTTAAAGAAAAAAGTTCGATGCCTTTATATATAAAAACACCTTTCTTCTTTCCCTCTTGAGCATGTACAATTTTGGGAGCAAAATTGGCATTTTGAGCTAAATTTGTGGGCATTTTCAGACTCAAAGGTGAGAGTAATTTTTAAAGTGGTGTCTGCATGTATAATAATTACTAATTAGTTAGAAGATTTGTCAAGTGGGTGATAGATGGATATTTTAATTCAACACCGATGCAAAGCAGACATTTTTGCTGAAGCTGTGTAATAAGATTCTTGCGCACCTGGTTTGTTAAACAACATTGACTGCTCAGTAGCTGTCCATCTGAAAGCTGATATTCAACTGTTAATTTGCACAATCTCTGAACACAGCAAAACATGGTAATTTTGTGTTAAACATAAAATATGTGAAGGGCAATGATCTTTCTGAGAAGTTAGAAGCATAACAATTAATGTTAACTCCCAGCTGTTTTAATTGCAGCATATCGAAGTTCAAAGATATATGCCGTGAAGAAAGAGAGATTTTAGTTACAAAACTCTGTAAAATATTTTATAGTTGCTATCTAGTAAATGCATCATTATATTCATTCTTTGTAATTGTGCAAAATTACTTCACAATGGTGGATGTCGCCAGGCTATAAAAGTGAAAATTAGCCACTTCATCATTATCCAGTGATATCAGCCGAAAGAGAGTTTTTGTGAATGTAAAGTGAGGGCAACATTAAATTCAGCAATGATGGGCTCATTTGTTAAATTGTGTGCTAACAAACTGTTCAGACCATGGATGGAAAATACTACAGAAGCTGCATTAAATGCATGTATATGGACGATATTGCCTTAAATGTAATACTGTATTAAGATAAAAATCGTGTTTCTTTTCCTTTGCTAAGTCTGCTTATCATATTTCTTGGTTAGGTAACCTGAAAAATGGGACATAGTTTTACAATATTCATCTTGATGATGCTAGTTTCATCAGTTGATTTGTGATGTTACTTTTTATTGTTAAATAGTTCTCTGTCTGAAATAACTCCAGAGTAGGGATTTATTTTTACTCATTCATAGAATGTGGGCCAGCATTTATTGTCCACCCCTAGTCACAGCTCACCACCATCTGCACAAAGGCAAATAGAGATTGGTAACAAATGCAAGCCCACATCCCATGAATGAATTTTTAAAAATCCCTACTTTGGAGTCATTCCCAGTTATTAGAATGGGAGGAAGAGAACAAATAGAATAAAAGGCAGTGGCCCTACAGGTTGAAGAAAATTGGCAACTGGTGAATTAGAATTAGAGTTGTGTTATTTTTAGAGCATTTACTAATCTTTTGAATGGTTTTCAGCTTTGTCTGAAATTGAGAAACTTTGCCTTAATTCCAAAGTAGTAGTTTTTCAAGATGTTTTTGATTTTTTGGGATGGGATGCACATGTGTGTAATGTTTTTCAAAAGAAATTGCTGTCCTTGTTGAAAGTAGGATAGTACAGACCACAAGTCTGCTAGGTCTTTACGGTGCATGGTGGAAGAAATATAAAGTATGTAAAATTTTACAATCACTTAATCAACCTAAAGAAATATTTTATAGTAACGACTGTACATTTTGTCATAGTGCCCAGTGCACCGCCACGGAAAGTGGAAGCAGAGTCAGTGAACTCAACAACAATCAAAGTAACATGGAAACCCCCGATATCAAGCAAGCAACATGGACAGATCCGGGGATACCAGGTTACCTATGTGCGTTTGGATAAAGGGGAACCACAAGGACAGCCAATAATTAAAGATGTAATGTTAGCAGAAGAGCAGGTAAGCATAATTAGTTGTTCATATTTGAGTTATCAAAAATTACTAATTGTGAAGGAAGAAGAAAGAAATTGCCCTTTATTAGGAGCTACATTTATGAAGTATCAAATAACAAATAAAAAAACAAGTCTGACATGTATTCTTCTAAAAATATATCAATATTTTTATTGCAGTATGCTTTAGTGTATATTGATTTGTTGAGTTTGAGTTTGATATGATGAGCTATTCTAATAATGACTAAATCAGTTGTATCTGTAATGACACAGCACAAGTATTTATTTAAATTGATCCGGCACAAAACTTTCAGTTTATTGATTATCATTCACATTATGACTTCTAATTATTTCACTTTGTCCTCCAAAAATTGTATTTCAAACATGCCACATTGTTCTCTCTGCCCTCATCCATTTCATTGTAGGAAGGGAGTTCCAGGATTTTGACCCAACAACACTGAAGGAAGAGCTTTATATTTCTAAGTCAGGATGGTGTGAGACTTGGAAGGGAACTTGCAGCTGGTTGTGTTCCCATGCAATCTCTGCCCATGTCCTTCTCGATAGTAGTGTTCATGGCTTTGAAAGGTGCTGTCTAAAGAACCTTGGAGAATTTCTGTAGTGTATCTTGTGGATGGTAGACAATGCTGCTACTAAGCATTGGAGGTGGAGAGAGTGAATGATTGTGGAGATGGCGCCAATCAAGCAGTTTGCTTTACCCTGTATAGTGTCAAACATCTTGAGTGTTTTGGAGCTGTGTTTATGCAGGAAAGTGGGGAGCATTCTATCACCCTCTTGACATGTACCTAGTAGATGGTGGGCAGTTTTGAAGTGTCAGGAGGTGAGTTACTTGCTGAATGATTCCTAACTTCTAACCTTCTCTTGTAGCCACAGTACATATATGGCTAGTCCAAATGAGTTTCTGGTCAATGATAACCCCCAAGATGATGATAGTTGGAGATTTAGTGATGGTAACGCCTTTCAATGTCAGGGATGATGGTCTGAAATGTTAGAAATGGTCATCACCTGACAAGAATGTTACTTATCACTTTTCATCCCAAATCTGGATCTTATTCAGGTCCTGCTAGTATCTGAGGAGTTATGAATGGTGAATATTGATAATGAATAATGAATATTGTCCTAACTAAATATTCCCACTTTACCAGTCTTGTATCCTCGTAAAGTCCCTTTCTATCCACTTGTTCACTACATTTCAGTTTCTTTTCACCTGCAAACTCTGAAATTATGCTCTACATTAATATATAATCAAAAAGAACTGTGGCCCCAATACCAACCTCTGGATAACACAGTTGTATAGATGACAGTGATTGAACATTGATTAAATGGAATTCCTTTTAAGTTGTAGACTTGCTTGCTGAGCCAGTGTGTTTGATTGCAGACATTTTGTCACCCTGCTAGGTAACATTGTCAGTGTGCCTCCGGTGAAGTGTTGGTGTTCCGTCCCGCTTGTTATTTATATGCCTTGATTTGCTGGGGTGGTTGGCATCACTGCTGGTTTTGTCACCAAGAGACACGACCAATTCTCACTGGTCTCAGTACACACAGACAAAGAAGGACACAAATTTGACTGGGACAACACATCCATAATAGCACAAGCCAAACAGAGGCATGTCAGGGAATTCCCGGAGGCCTGGCATTCCAAACGGAACTCTATCAACAAACACGTTGAACTGGACCCCATATACAAATGACTGTAAAACAGAACCTGAAGTAATGCCAACCATCTCAGCAAACCGAAGCATATAAATAACCATTGGGACAGAACACCAATGCTTCTCCGGAGGCACAGTGATGATGTTACCTGGCAGGTGACAAAATGTCTGCGATCAAACACACTGGCTAGATGAGCATGTCTACAACCTCATCCACACCCGAGCTACAAATCTTCTCAAAAACTTTGGAATTCCTTTTAATCATTCAATAATGCAACATTCCCATGGGAACATGCCTTACAATGTGCATATAAGCAGTTGGAACCTTGAAGCATATCATGCGGGCAATGCTGTCTTTTTTTATCTCCTTTCCCACTGATAGAGAAAAATGTGTTTCTCTTGCTGTCTAGAGACTTTCTGACCTCCTTGATATTCATCTCTAGATGTTGCTAATATTGCTTATTGCAGTCTAAATTAGCCTCTGACAGCTGAATGGCCATGATCGTCAAAGTATTGGGCGGTGCTACTTATGACGTGGCTTGAAGCTGCTGACATAACTCAGCACCATCCTCATTGGAAAGTTGAATTTGTCTTCACTGACGTTGAGGTAGGAGAAATGCTGCATGGTCATGGCCTCCTGCTGGATACCATGCTCCTCCTCACTCTCCTGGCACATTGCCCTGCTTTGTAGAATCTTCCTTCTTGCTCAATTCCCTGATGCAGGCAATAGACCCAGGCTTGGATAATTTGTGAAGGCTGCCAACCCATTTGTCAAAGAAAACAGTTTCTATCTTTCCCCCTATCAAAACTCCTTAATATTTTGAACATTTCTGTTTACGTGTAACGAGAATTAAATAGTTTTGATATCAGCCTCTCTGTGGCCTTGCTGTATCCTTCTATCCAAGCTCAAAAGTCCCCATTCACCACTACTACTGTTTCTTCACGAACCACATATCTAAATTACTTTCTGCAGTTGATTACTTAATCCTCGTGCACCATATGTTAAATTTGCCTTTTTATTGCTAAGAAAACCAGGAAATGGATGTTGAACATCACTGTGATCACTGGATAACCTGTCTCATATTTGTCAGTGCACCTCATACGATTCATCCTGGTGCAAAGCTTTAGTTTAGGTCCATCTAAATTTGATGCCCTGCAGCAATCATTGATTCACACACTGAGTCAAAATCTTATTGCATATTATGCAAAACTGAGCATTTTACTCTTATTGACTAAAATTCCATTGTACATGAGACGATTATTTGGTTAATGACTCCTGTATTTAGATCTATATGTTGCAATTTCAAGAACACAGTCATTTTATGTCATGAAATTATATGAATAATAATAGATAATATATGCATAACAAGTGCATATCATTAAAAGAAATGTTTAAATTAGCAGAAAATAAATTGGAGGTGGCTGTGACATAGTGATTGCATGCTCTTCTAGATATGGGTTGGTGGAGAGATTTAACATTATATCGTGCGTGCGTGCGTGCATGTGTGTGTGTGTGTGCCTGTTTGTGTGTAAAACTTTCAGATTTTTTCATCTGTTACATGTCTTTGAATTGGTATTAATGACCTGAAACGTGAGGCATGAAATAATTTGTTACATGGCAGCCAAATGCTGTGTCCTATAAAAGGTTACGGTTAAACTAAGTGTAAGCAGCAGGTATTAATGTGAGCAAATCCCAAAGACTACTGCTGTGAATGCAGATGGCTGAACCTTCTAGTTTGTGCAAATAAATAATAAACTATACTAATTGCTGTGCAATGTAGTCTGAAAGTTGCTATTTTAAAATATGTTTCTTGTTATTTTCTCTGTTCATAGTTAGCATGTATCCTTACTAATCCAGTCCAGATTGCCTTTCCTCTAATCCCTCTTTCTAATTGTCTTTATTTTCCCCAAACCCATCGTTCAGTGGGAGTCTGAGGACACCCAGGAATATGTGAGTAATAAACGTGTGCAGATCTGGGCATGGGCTTTCTCTGAAGTAATCAGAGGGATGTCAAAGATGAATGTAACAGAGATAAATAGAGAAGAAATGTGTAAGACCTTTAACGAATTTTAAGAATTCTGGTGACTTTATTATAGTTGCTATACGAAAGGAAGTCAGTAGTAGTACATTCATTGACCTTGATGCAAAAATTGCTTTCTGGCTGAAGGTGAACAGCATGAAAGATTAAAATTTTGGCAGCATACAGATTTTATTAGACTATTCAATAAATTGATTCACGACCATGTGTATTCAACCAATTTACTTTTTTTCATCGCTAACTGATTTACCCAGTTTTGCATGAAAAATATATAATATTCAAAAACAACTATGGATGATCATGCAGTTTGCTGAGACCTACATTTACTATACAACAGTCAGAGGTGGCAGTGAAGTCTCCTATTAATAGTTAATCTATCTTTGGAATTAAAAATGTTGCCAAGCTCATTGAGTGCTATTATTTACAACACAATCATACAGGGGCAGAATTGCAGAGATGTGATTCAAAGGGTTTCAATTATCCTCACACTAATTGTGCTTCTGACCCACAAAATAGAATTTTCATTCACCACACATTTCATCTTCACCTAAGTTGTGAATTAGTACGCATTAGCAGGACCCATGTTAGTGAAGAAAGTCAGAAATCACATGACACCAGGTTGTAGTCCAACAGATTTATTTGAAAACACAAGCTATTGGAGTCTTACTCCCTTTTCGGGTGTTGGTGAGAGAGGTAGAATCAGACACAGAACTTATAAGTAAAAGATCAAAGGGTCACACCACCAAGGAGGAACTAAACAAACCTAAGATGCCGTTAAATCTTTAATCAGTTAGAAGGTTTTAATTGATTAATATGTATATGTAAATCTCCAAATTGCTTTGAAGTCACTGTCCTTAGAGAACTAAAGGTTTTATCAGTGTAAGGTCAGAAATCTCACAACACCAGGTTATAATCCAGTAGGTTTATTTGAAAGCACAAGCTTTCGGAGCCTCAATCTTTCAAGTTTCAGGTAACAACTGAAGAAGGACTGAGGTTCCAAAAGCTGTGTTTTCAAATAAACCTGTTGGACTATAACCTGGTGTCGTGTGATTTCTGACCTTGTCCACCCCGGTCCAACACTGGCACCTCCACATCATGGTTATCAGTGTAAAGAAGAGGTGACATTTTAGGCCAGATAAACGTCCCCCACAGCAGACTTCGGGATACACAACAACGTCGAGTCACCGAGCAGAGGGTGACAGCCAAGTTTGGTACCCATGAGGATGGCCTTAACCAGGATCTTGGGCTCATGTCAGACTTCAAGTGACCCCACCACACTATACATTCTTACACACGCACACATACACACACACTCACTTACACAAACACACTGACACACACACACACATACACATACACACACAGATCCTCTCTCATACATACACTGTCTCTCACACACACACACAATCTCTCCCTCTCTCACACACACTCTCAGACACACACATACACACACACGCTCACTCACTCACTCTTCCTCTCACACGCACACACAAACACACACTCTCCCTCTCTCTCACACACACACACATGCGAATCTATGGGGTGAATTTGTATTTGCAGATACATTCTATTTTTTTTAAAAAGCACAGTCAATGTGGCGTTTTATAAATCCCTACTTTAGAAATAAAACCAGTCTGACTCCAAACTAAAACACAAACAGATTCTAAACAAGGCCTTACACCTAACGTGCATTGTTTGATCTAAAATGTCATCTCTTCTTTACACTGATAAAGCCTTTAGTTTTTTCAGACAGTGACTTCAAAGGATTTGGGGATTTACATATACCTATTAATCAATTAAAACCTTCTAACTGATTTAAAGATTTAACAGCATCTTAGGTTTGTTTGGTACATCCTCATCAGTGGTGTGACCCTTTGATCTTACTTATAAATTCTGTGTCTGATACTACCTCTCTCACTAACACCTGAAGAAGGAGCAAAGCTCCGAAAGCTTGTGTTTTCAAATAAACCTGTTGGACGATAACCTGGTGTCATGTGATTTCTAACCTTGTCCCAACCTAGTCCAACACCAGCACCTCCATATCATGGTTAATGAAGAAGGCTGCAGCTTATTCACTGTCCTGATTACGAAGTTCACTATGTGAATATTGGAGCACATAATGGAGGACAGAACAATATTATCATTCTTGTTCTGTTTGGTAAATAGTAAAACTATTAATTGGCATAATGTGTACCCACTTAACCTTCATTCTAATGTCAAAGAAATTTTATGTAAACTATGATCAAAGTTATTTTGATTCAGGCCTTTATTATGAAATCCAGGCCAAATCACATGCTGGATTCCCAGACAATTTTAAAACATTTTGTTTTCAATTAATTCTTCTTCAGTGTCCTCTGAGTGATAGCAGTGGCATTAAATATATTATGCTAGGCAAATCTGTATAGAATTTAAATGTACAACTGTGTGGACAATTTAAGAAAGAAAAACAGAAATAGTATTCAGTTGTTGAGTCTTTTATGGAAATTAAGAAAGTAGAAAATGTGCAGCATATAGTTTTATTGACCACTTCTCTTTGACATCCCTGCATTACCATTTTGCACTGAAAATTCTGTGTTTTCTCTGAATTAACCCAGCTGCATGAGAAATAATCTTGCTGGAAGAATCTAATGGATATTCTTGTAGATATGTCGTAATTATGCTGGCACAATATGTGCTTTTTCTTTGCTATGTTGCGTGTGATGTGTTGCTTGTTGAGACTTGTTTGCTGGTTTTGAACTGGTTTTGTACAAATCCAGTGGTGCTGGATCACTGAGCTGGGCAGTTTGCCAGACTGTATGGGTAACAAACCTCGATGAAGATCAGCATGTCTTGTTTTTAACATGCCACAAAAGATTTGTGATAATAAAAAGGATCAGTGAGAGAGAACAAAGCCCACAGTCAACTGTATTTGCAGTGCAGGGAGCAAATAAATCTTTTTTAAGATGTAAATTTCTGATCCTTTGCCTGAGAATTTTGTTTAGTATTTATAATAATACTGTTTGAGGACACACCTTTCTTCAAATAGACTGACTGTCCTTTATCAGTTCCTTTTATGTGATTTATAGACTGTAAACCACAAGATGGCAAATTTCGAAGAGCCAGATCTACTGTATCCTTATTGCCCAAATTCAAATTTCCCTCGTTGTACTCTTGTTGAAAATCTAGCTGTGATCCTTTTCACAGAATCGCAGAAGTGTTATGGTGCAGAAGGAGCCTATTCGGCCTATCGTGCCTGAACCAACTTGTTGAATGAGCATCATTACCTCATGCCAATCTCTTGCTTTCCCCCCCCACCCTTGCACATTATTTTTATCCAAATAATTATCCATTACCCTATTGAATGCGGGTTTTGTTCCAAGTTTTTGGGACATTGCTGCCGCTTTAGTGCTGACCGTATTGGCACTTTTCCACCTCATGCTAATTATAAAGAGCCACTGGCAGTCTCCACCTGCTGGGATTCACCATGAATACTTAATAATCCACCAACTCTAGTGATTGTGCCAGGGTCATGAATTCAAATTAGCTGATGGAAAAGAGAAATTCAACTAAACTTGTTTAATTAGTAATTTCTACCCTAGCCACTGAAGTTAAGTGAGATTGTTACAGAATAGAAGCACAAGTCAATGTGCTTAGTCAAATGGTACATTTAGTGAAATGGCATGATAAGATACGGAGCAATTTTCCACCCCAGTTGCTTTCCAAACAGAATATTGCTTGACACAGATTTTGGAACAGCAGAGTTCCAATTGGAAAAGGGCAAGACAGCAATCTCGTTGTACAGTTTAATGTTCAGATGACTAATTTGGTAAAATTAGAAATCATTTTAGCGTACACCCAGTCCATGGATGGGCATGTCCATCTGTGTTAATAATCTATGTAATAGGGAAGAGCAAATGTTGCATTATTTTCAAATGAACAAACAGTATTTCTATCAGTTCAAAAATGAACAACTTTGGTATTGTCCTGGACCAGTCAGAGCCTTATACAGTTGACTGTAAGAGCTTAGATAAAGGTGGGAATATATACTGCTGTGTGCATGTGTGGATGCGTGGAAATGGTGGTTTGCAGTGCATTGGTGTTGGTTTTTGATTTCTAAAAAAATATTGCTTGAGTTAATCTTAATTGATTTAGTGCATTATTCTCTTTCTATGTTATTAATGTTTGTGATATTTCTGTGCTTTGTTGAATTCAGCACTTTAATTCAAACAAGAATTGATGGAAGATATGGTCACTTCACCTGGATTACACACCAAAAGAATTTAGTTAACTAGGATGGAAATTTTATTGCAATCATTGATGCTAAGTGCATTGCCAAATTACTTCTGATTAGTTTCAATTCTAATGTGCATTTATTTTTATTCCCTTAAAGTAATTAATATGATCTCAGTCAGAGTTCCTTTAAATGAATTTGGTTTTTCTCACCGTTGATAATGAAATATTTAAATCCATGTTAATTACTAATCAATTGCAAAACATATTTGTGAAAATCATGAGCTGTTTATGTATCACGCTTTTGTACTAAATTGTTGAAGCCTTAATGTATCTCATTAAGATTCATGTTTCCCCCACTGCCCTGAGCATAACCTATTGGATAGTATTCCAACTGTCCACTCTTTAACGTCCTAATTATTTTTTATGCAGGTGTTCTGTATTGATAGATGAACATTGAATAAACTGTTTGAATAAACTATCTGCTTGTCATGCATTTAACAATAGGAAGCCATTATTGGGGGACTGATGCCTGAAACAACATATTCCATTACTGTGGCAGCATACACAACCAGAGGGGATGGAGCTCGTAGCAAACCCAGGCTGGTTACTACTTCAGGATCTGGTAAGAAGGGAGATCACCTTACATTAGCCATTGTATTAGATGAGTTCTTTGGGTAAAAATTTAGCGAAAGAAGTTTTTAATTCAATGTGGTATTGACTCTGCGCTCCTGTTCCTTACTACACCGACTCCACATTACTTTTAAATAGATTATGTTTCCAACAATAGCATAAAAATAGAAAATGGCAACACTTTAAAGAGCAAATGAAGTAGTTCATGTGCAGAATAAGATTGTACCAAATGCTTTTCTGTGGGTGCGATGCTGAAAGTTGATAATACAGTGCATTACTGAAAGAGGACTTTTCAAATTGAGGCCAGCTCCCATTAGTATGTGGTTCTCCTTTCAAGAAGAACCACAAGATAAATGGAGTCCTGCCAGGATTTAAAGGTCTGTAGGCTGTGTAGGATTCTTTGCGTAGGTGAAGTAATTGTTTAGGATTAATGTCACCTGTAATGGTGATGTGTAGTTATGTAGACCTGGTAATGTTGCGCTGTGATGCTGAGATTAGCAGGATCTGAGAAAATGTTTGATTAATTGAAAAATTACCGTTACAGTTTTATAGAGCAGCTCTGTTATTAATTTCTTCAAATAGACAAGAAATAGCAAGACTCAATGCCAATGAACTCAGTATTTATAAATATAGTGAGGGAGGAAGCAAAACCAACTGCTAAGCCCTTTCATTGTTTTCTGATACATTTCTTTTGTGATGTTTAATTATTTTAGAGCTAATGCCACTAGATTGAGCTAATGAAGATATACTCAAGATTTAACCAACAATCAGCTTAACTTTGCTTTGTTCTTCAGTTCCAGGCATGCCTGCAATGGTTATCAGTGTCACTAAAATGAATACTGCCCTCATTCAATGGCAGCCACCACAACAAATGGTGGATGACCTGCTAGGTTTCCGACTACAATACAGCCGGACTGATGAAGATAAGCCAAACATTATTGAACTTAGTAAGAATAATAACCATTACACTGTGATGAACTTACACAAAGGGGCCACATACATCTTCCGGTTGAGTGCCAAAAACAAAGCAGGATTTGGTGAGGAGACAGTGAAAAAAATCATAACACCAGAAGATGTGCCAAGTGGGTTCCCACAAAACCTACATGTTGTGGGACTTACCACATCCACCACTGAGCTTTCATGGGACCCACCAGTTATGGCAGAAAGGAATGGGAAAGTGATCCTCTACACAGTGTTGTTCCGTGATATCAACAGCCAAAAGGACCTCACCAATACAACTAACGAAACTCAGATAACACTGAGCAGTCTGAAACCAGACACTACCTATGACATTCGAGTGAGAGCTCATACTTCCAAAGGGCATGGTCCATACAGTCCTAGTATTCAATCCCGTACCATGCCAGTTGATCAAGGTAAGGAATTTGTCAAATCAAAACTGTGAGTGAATCACAGTCAGCAATTAACCCAAAATTCCAGAATCATTCTTCCATTACTGGAATGAGATACCTACTCAGCTGCTGTGATTCAGCTGTGTCCCAGGTCATTGGCTGGGATAACTTACAGGCAGATGCAACAAAGGCAAACATTCTAATGTACAATAGCATGCAAGGAAACCAAAGCCCTGAAAGGCCCAAAGATTTTTTTCCTCTAAAATTGCTACCTTTTGGGCAGACCTGGACATAGCTGGTTTGTACCAGTTTCCAAAGAGCATCCTTACTTTCTCCTCCACCACATCTCCGACAGTCAAAATAGGACAGTGAATGACATGAGTTCTTATGCTAGTTGGAATTTCTTGAAGTTGCTTGGGCCACATTGTGTTTTACTGTTATCCCCCAGGTTTTTAGTCACCTTTCTCAATTCGTGGAAGTTTGGATCTAGTGATCTTCTCTAAGGCTTATTTCCGATCAAGAATGCCAATTTCTGAATTTCAGTGATGCCTTGTTGTCTTTATTGCTTGATACTTTTGTGCAGCATCTTTTTTATTCAGAATGATTATAGATTCCTAATGCAGTGCACCAGAGACTGATTTTACGTAGTATAGTAATGAGTAGTTACTTAGCTCATGTATTGTCCAGAATGCTAGGGTTGCAATCACAGCCAAATTGTTGAGGGAATACCAAAAGCAATACTAGAACTTGAGGTGAAGAGCTTAATCTTCCCCTTCCAAAAAGAGAAATGGTGTAGAAAGTAGCAGAAAGCGAAGATAATCAGGCATGTTGATGTCCAGGACATGTTCATTGCCTTCCTACCACCATATCAATGATGTTCTGGGTACAAATGCCAAAACTTCACAGCAGGAGCTCTTGTGGTGCAGTGGTACTGTCCTGACCAATGAACAGGAGGTCAGGGTTCGGGTTCCACTTGCTCCAGAGGTGTGTAAACATCTAGAACCTGCACCAAAGAATGAATAGCTAAATCTCTATGACTGTACAGCTGAAAACCGTGCTGGCAATTTAGTATTGGTCCCAAATGAGTTGCTACAGGTGCCATATTCTATAAAATCTACCTTCATTTAGGTGCACGTATATACTGATACTTTTGATCTTTTCGACAGTGTTTGCTAAGAACTTTCGGGTCAAGGCAGTGATGAAGACATCAGTGTTGTTAAGCTGGGAAGTACCGGAAACATACAAGCCAGGCGTGTCTTTTAAGGTTGGTGTAGTATTCTGACAGAAAAATTTGATTCACTGAACGACATCTGAAAGAAAAGTTTTCCTTTTTTCATACATCACATAATTTGTTGTCTTAAAGGATTGGACTTATTTCCTCCTTTCGCACCCATTCCAAGTTCGTATTGAGAATTCCTCATCTTTGTCTTATCATCAAATTGGGATTAAATATGCTTTTTCAAAAAATTTACATAGTATGTAAAATACAGTTGGAATTAGATACAAGATTCTTCAGTTGACTGACCTAAATGTAAACTTATAATATTAAATTTATAGCTACACAAAAATATGATCTACGAGTCTGTTGTCAGGTTATGACTGCTTAGTTCTGGAAAGTAAATGTAGGGGACTCTGTTTGATCTCTTGGTTAGATTGCTGTCAAATGAGTTCCGAAATCCAATTGTTGTGGAATCATAGTGTGTTCTGCATAGGTGAAAAATATGAGCTAATTCAGTTTTTAAAGAAATTTGAAAGATGCCCTATCTAATGATTTAGAATAATGTTGATTTTAAGAATTTACACCATTTCTGAAATCTGAAAGAACCCCATTTAAGCTGTACACTCAGACCTAAGCTGGTTTCATCAGGTCTACATGGAGATCAAAATGATACCAGGATAAACTGCAGACCACAGTGTCAAGTCAGTTGACCCTTTTTTAGAACTGATTGTAGCTAGGAAAAGGTGGTATTAATGATAGGAGGTGGGGGAAGGGAGTGATCAGAAGAGTGGACATGGAGCTCTGAGAGAGAGAAAGAAAGTTATGCAAACAAGGGGATGGTAGATAGTAAGCCAGGGAAGGAGCAAAGCTAATAATGGGGACAACGAGTAGTGAAAATGGATTTACTGAAAGCATGACAGGGCCTGGGGTACAGGGCATACCAAAAATAATGTAAAAAGTTCTTTTTGCATGCTGAGTTTCTTGTAACCCTTCTTGCCGGAGCTGCAAGTCATTGTTTGAATTTTTTTGCGTACTTTTGCTTACTTTAAAATTAATGTTCATTTTCTTTTTCTGTTTAATATTATCCAAATTATGTTGCAGAAGTTTACTAGTCATTAGAATATTACACTTATCACCTAATCAATAAGCAACTGGTATTATTATGATCATCAGACACCATTTCTGTCACCTCCAGCAAGATGCCACCACCAGACACACATTCCCCTCCCCTCCCTTGTCCGCCTTCCTCAGGGACCGTTCCCTCCAGGACACCCTGGTCCACACTTCCTTCACTCCCAACACCTCCCCACAGCCCTACGGCATCTTCCCCTGTAACCGGCGAAGGTGCAACACCTGCCCATTTACCTCCTCCCTCCCCAGTATTCAAGGGCCCAAACATACCTTCCAGGTGAAGCAACACTTCACCTGCACTTCCCAGAATCTAGTCTACTGCATTCGCTGCTCACAATGTGGTCTCCTGTACATTGGGGAAACGAAGCATAGACTTCGCAGAACATCTACATTCTGCTCGCAGAAAAGACCCTGAATTGCCTGTTGCCTGCCACTTCAATGCACCACCCTGCTCCCTGGCCAACATCTCCATCTCTGACTTGCTGCAGTGTTCCAGCGAAGACCAACGCAAGCTGGAGGAACAACACCTCATCCTTCCACTTGGGGACCCTACAGCCCTCCAGACTCAATATTGAGTTCAATAATTTTAGGGCCTAAACTCTCCCATGTCCCAGCCCCCCACCCCACACACCAGGCCTTGTTACCACATAGCCTGCCACTACACACCCCCTGTTGTTAGTCACTAACAGTCCCCATTAACAACTATTCACCCTCCCAGCTTGATCGTTAGCAACTCCTTTGTCTGTCCAACTGTCTTTCTCTCTCTTTGGGCCCTGTCCTATCATTTACTCCCTACCCACCCACCTCCCTATTTTCTGGCATAACATGGGCAGCTTTTAGTATAGCCAACCCATTTTCACCCACTCATTGTCCCCATTATCAGCTTTTCTCTTTCCCTGGTTTACTGTTTAACATCCCTTTGGCTGCCCAACACTCTTTCTGTCTCTGAGGGCTCTTCTCCATCTATCTGGTCACTCCTTTCCCCCAACCTTCTGTCATCCACATAAATGCCACTTTTTCCTAGCTACTATCAGTTCAAAAGAAGGGTCACCAGACTTGATATATTAACCCTGTTTTCTTGCCACAGATGCTGACAGATCTGCTAAGATTTCTCCAACAATTTCTGCTTTTGTTTCAGATATTCAACATCTGTAGTTCTTTGTTTTATTCTGAAATCTTCAAAGTTCATTTGGCTGACAGCTTTAGCCATTAAAATGAAATGCAAAGTGCTGGAGAATCTCATTATCTGTGGAGCGCGAAACAGGGTTGACGTTTTGGGCACAATGACTCTTCTTTGAAACTGAAGATGGCAAAAAAATGATTGCTTTTGCGCAAGGTTGAGGCTGCACATGTGGAACAGGTGGTGAAGGTGCCCATAGCAAAAAGACAAAGGGAGTGCTAATGGTAGTAAAGGAGATACGGGTAGCTGCAAAATATGTGTTAATGATAAGTGTGAATAAGAGAAACTAGGTCATGCTCTGAAGTTGTTAAAATTGTTGGTGAGACTTGATAGCTATAAAGTCCTTAAACAGAACATATTTCCTCCAGCTTGGGCTTCATTGTAACACTGCACAGGCCCAGGATAGAAATGTTAGCATGGGAGCAAGATGTTGCATTGAAATGGCAAGCAACTGGGAAGGTAGCAGTCAGAATTCTAGCCATTAGTTCCTTGAATTGGATAAAGTCAGATATATTTTTCCCCATTTGCTAGTTCATTCATTTGTTCTACAGTTTTGATGGACTCTTTAAATTTGTTTTTTCTCACATAAGTCCTTTTCATTAAGGAGACATTGTTTAAAGTACTATAGAGAATTGAAGGATTCTTGGCTTTTATTGCTTTGAAAGGAACACCAGGAAATAATATAAAGGATCATAATCTAATGAAATCTGGTGTTTTCTGTTGTGTTAGTTCTATTCATTGACACAGTTAAAGCTAAGGATATGTGGGATGTCATTTTCATTTACTCAACATTCAAAGAGGGAGAACTGTATCAGGATTATATTAATTTTAATACATCTTAATAAATTCACTATTTACTCATTTGAAGCTACTTTCCAAATTACCTCAGATTACATTTCGGTACATAACTTTACCTGTGAAAAGAGTTCTTTATGTGAGATACAAATAAGTATCTGAAAATTATCAAAATTGTAACAGCATCTTTATGAATCTGAATAAATAAATTACTTGGCAGTGGAAATGTACTTATAAATATGATTTGTGTTCTTACAATATTTGCTTTTCTGAAAATGTAAAACAGCTGCCATCCAAAATAAGCCAAAAATTATGGAAATTATAGGCTTTGATTTGAACTTCAGATGAGTTTTCAGCAGGTGAGTGACAAATTGACTTTGAAACTCACCGTTTTAGAAATCAGGCCCAAATTATTTTGACTCCTGGATCTCACTTACATCATGGCACTCAAATTCCTCCCTGAAATGGACAGAAAATCACTTGGCCCACAGGCCATCCATTAATACTTGGTGAGTAACAGAAAAAGGACAAGTTAAGCAATGAGATGCTATGATTATTCAGGCCTCTTTGTTTGAAACAGCTCATCTAACATTTTAACTAGTTGCCTGGAAAGGAAAGTGGTAGATGAAACTTCTAAACTATGCAAGCAGTGTATTAACTCGTATTTTCTTTATGTTGTAACTGAATACATTGATTTAATTGCAGACAGTAACAAATTGCTCTCGACTTGTTTTACAGCTGCTGATCTTTTGTTCACAAACTGCACCATACTATGGTACCTCTTTTTATAGCACAATGATATTGATCATCAACTTTGATAGGAAGAAAACAAGTTAACTATAAACTTCATTATTAATTTGTTATGAGTGCCTTTTCTTATCCCTTTCTCAGATCCTATATAATGGCCAAAGCATAGAGGTTGATGGACAGTCCATGCGAAAACTTATTACAAAGCTTCAGCCTGACACCGAGTACTCCTTTGTGCTAACAAACCGTGGGAATAGTGCTGGTGGGCTACAGCAGGTGGTATCGATCCGAACTGCTCCTAACTTGCTGCGCACAAAACCAGTTGTGTACAGCAAAAATATCCAGGATGGCAAATTGCCAATCAATCTGCCTAAGGTCCAAACCACATCCATTGTAAAGTAAGTTGTAAGCTAATTTATGGATGAATTCACTGGATTTGTGAAATTTATTTGGTGAGCTAACCCATTTCTCTGGGATTGCTTTTGTAAACAATGCAGAAAGTCTGTGAGATGATGTAAATTATTATAACATCACGTAAAATTTGCTTGTTCTAATGACTGTATCTGGGTCGGTGGAGATGGTCGCGAATTTAGAAAAGACCATATCCGTTATTCCACTTCAAAGAAAATGTCATGGTTATCCTAAAACATTGCATTGTCTGGTCTGCACTAAAAACTCAAGTTAAATATTTTAAATTGGAGAACTTTGTTGCTTATAAAACTTAAAAGCATTGTGGGATTTTGATTTTGCGGCATTCCTTATAAAAACAGAGACAAAAGCTGAATTCAGACATTTGAAATTTTGGACAGGAACCTGAAATAACTCCACAAAGGCTGGTATCCCATCATCAAGTCACCCTTTATTTACACGTGCATAGTTCATGACACTGAACCAGCTAGCTCAGAGCCAGCTCCTAGAGTGAGCACAACCCCGACACTCCTATTTATATCTGTCAGCCATGCCTCTTTGATTGGACCAAGTTAACAGCCCCAGTCAGGGACCTCACATTCTGTGAGGCCTACCTGGCTAACATCATTCCAATTACTATAGAACCTATATGAAATTTTACAGGACCTCCTCATCTTTGCCCCTTCCTGTACAGTTCCTACCAGATGTTAGGGGTTAAAATCAGCTCTTATATTTGTTTATAAAATGTGACTATCTTTCCAGCCTTTTCACCTGACCTATGTAACCTCTCTTTTAGGTTTTATTTTATTGTAGTCGTACCACTTGATAGAACTCAACGTGCTGTTACAGATAAATTGCAGAATCCTGAAGAGATGGACCTTGATGATGTAAGGCTTTGTATTCAGAATGAAACCATGTACATTTCATGAATGTTTGATATTGTGTCATTTAGGTAATTAATTATTGTCAGTTTTAACATTGTTTACAGTTACAATGAGAGTTGGCAAATATGTAAAAAGGTATCTGGTTTGATAGTAGGTGGAACTATGCTTCATTTAAGTCTTTCTTCCCCTCACCCTCAATGAAAAATTGGATGGCAAATTAATAAATTAAATGCAGGGGCCATATCTCCCTAATAAATAAGGAAAGCAGTATTTATATTGCAGCAGTACCTGGTTAACATGCTTGTCTACCTATCAATTTGTATATAAAAATGTCTAATCCTCTGATCTGAATGGAAGAAAATGCATCCAGCAATGCTCATCTGTTAAATCTCAGATCAATATTCAATGTTTTTCATGCACTTACTTGTATATGAGCCCTTTTCTGGAATAAATTAAGTCCTCAGCAGTGATTAGTGTGTGAGAAAAAAACCCTTGTATTGTCTTAATCTTATTAAGTTTTTTTGCAATTTAATAGTCTAGAAAACATTCTTTTGTGTTCTTCGTGCAAAAGTTAAGAAAATTTTTGCAATTTTTATTCAGTCAATAATGACTAGTTCAAGCAAGACAAAGATTATAAATACTGTTAAAAGTTATAGAATATAAAGAGCCAAAGCCTTAGCTAGAATATCCTAGGCCCTGTTTAGCAATGGAGATCTCTTTCTGAAACCGCTATTGGCCATGATTTCAGCAAGGTGATCTTCTGACTATATAATCAAAGAATATTGACTTCCAATCCAGCATTTTGTCTCCCTTCTTTTGTAGTGAAACATTTAATCTCTAGCAGGTGGCGATGGCCTAGTGGTATTATCGCTGGATTGTTAATCCGGAAATCGAGCTAATGTTCTGCGGGCCCGGGTTTGAATCCAACCATGGCAGATGTTGGAATTTGAATTCAATTAAAAAGTCTGGAATCCATTACCAATTGTTGGAAAAACACATCTGGTTCACTGGTGCCCTTTAGGGAAGGACTGCATGTGACTCCAGACCCACAGCATTGTGATTGACTCGTAACTGCCCTCTGAGCAATAAATGCTAAGCTAGCCAGTGATGTCCTCATCCTGAGAATGAATTTTAAAACAAACTTCCACAGACTACATAGCTGAGAATGGGAATTATGTGGAGTTTTACTGGATTAATTTTGACAGTGATGAACACGTTGTGTACTCCTGTGTGTATACCTGTAGTAGCAAATCTGTAGTTTGTTGTATTGTGACTAAGTCAAATCATGCTAAAGAAAAAAATTTAGGTGTTACTAAAATGCATGTATGTATATGTTTAGCTGTTTGAAAGGATAAGCAACCATCATAATATTCGGCAACGACGTCAGTCTGAGAGACCAAAGCCATATATTGCTGCCCAGCTGCAGAAACTACCAGACACATTCACACTTGGAGATGCACAGACCTATGGAGGGTTTTACAACAAACCACTATCTCCCAACCACAGTTACCTGTGCTTTGTTTTGGCAGCATTAGAAGAGAAAGACGCAGTAAGTATACATACGATATTTTGAAACCGCCTTGTCTTATAAGTCATAAGAACATAAGAAACAGGGGAGGAGTAGACCATGTGTTTTGATGCTGCCCCGCCATTCAACACAGCTGATCTTCAGCTTCAATTCTACTTTCCAGCACGCTCTCCATAACACTTGATTCCATGACCGATCAAACATTGTCTATCTCAGCCTTCAGTATATGCAAAATGTTGGGGCTCTCACAGTTCTTAGGGGAGCAAATTCCAAAGATTCACAGCAATTTGAGTCAAGGAATTTCCTCTCATCTCTGTCCTAAATGATCATCTTCTTATGCCAAGGCCATATTACAAATTCCCCAGTTAAGGGAAAGCAATCTCTCACTGTTTCTCCTGTTAAGTCCTTTCAGAATCTTTAAGATTTCAATGAAATCCCTCTCTTCCTTCTGAATTTCCGAGAATATAGACTTAATTTGCTCAGGCTGTCACGATAGGACAGCCTTTATGTCCCAGGGGCCAATAAGTGAACCTTCACTGCACTGCCTCCAATCCACTTCTGTATATTGATTGTAACTTTTTCAAATTATTTCTGTTATGGAAGAAAATAAAGCATTTAACTTTAATTTTAAGACAACTTCTGACACCTGCCAGAAGGCAGCTCATCGATCTTCTCAAAGGCAGTTAGCAATGGATAATAAATGCTGCCTAACTATGATACTCATGAGTGAAGAAAAAATGTGATAATTTTCAACGATGCTTTATAATACAAATGATAAGGGAAAGCAAAAATGCTGATTTTCAATAAATTCAATTAATAATTTTTAAATCTGCTACAAGTCTAGTGTCAAATAAAAATGTGAATGGTTTATTACACTGAATGGTTTCTATTCCACTCTCAGGATCAAGCCTCGGCAGATTTGTTAACACTTTCCACTTTGATTCACAATGTTCTGGGCTTAGGTCCCACCACAGGACTTGCACACAAAAATTAAGGGCTGAATTTCAAACTGATCTTTGCACCCCGGACTAAATTTTGGGGGAGTAGCTTCAGATACTGGAAGCTCGCCCTGTTTTAATTTTCTGGGTGACAGCCCTTTCATTTGTATGAGATTCGGGAGGCCATGCATCTACAGGAGGATATCTAGCTGGCACATACACAAACTGACAGTGTCATGCAGGAATGATGGCCAATGCTGCTGCTGCAGGTAAGCCAAGAAGGTGGCATTCAGCAATTGCCCTGTGCATTCCAGTTAGTCTGAGGTCTTGCTGGCATCGGGTTGAGAGGAGCAGTGATTAGATATTGGACAGTGCATTGGAGGAGTATAGACTTGGGAGAGGAAAATTTTTGCGAGGACTGATTCCGATTGACACAGTGACTCTGAAAAAAGTCACCCCTTTCGCTGACCAGCAGCCAGCAGGGTTTTATCCGCTGGGCTGCATGTTGGGCACAATCCTTTCCTGCTACCCTTCCATTTTGGCAGGAATAACTTTAAAAAAAAATTTTATTTAAATGGTAAACTATTGCAGAGTTCTTGAGAGATGTGATACCACATCTGGAGTACTTTGTACAATACTGACCTCCTTATTTAAGGAAGGATGTAAATGCATTAGAAACGGTTCAGAGAAGCTTTATTAGACTAATGCCTGGAGTGGGTAGGTTGTGTTATGAGATAAACTGTGACAAAGTAAGCTTGTATCCACTGAAGTTGAGAAGAATATGAGTCAATTTAACTGAAATATGAGATCCTGAGGTGTCTTGACACAATGCATGTGGGAAGGGTATTTTGTCTTATGGAGAATCTAGAGGTAGGGACCACTTTCTAAAAACAAGAGGTTGCACATTTAAGGTAGAGATGAGAATTTCTTGCTCTGACAGGGTAATGAGTCTTTTGTAATTCTCTTCCTTAAATGGTGGTAGAAGCAGCGTTTTGAATATTTTTAATGTTGAGGTTGATCAATTTGTAGCAAGCAAGGTGGTGAAAGGCTATCCACAGTTAGTAATCAGATCAGGCATGACCTTTTTGAACAGTAGAGCTTGCTTAGTGGGCTGAATGGTCTGCTTTGGCTCCTAATTCATGTTATGTCAGAGCAGTGACAGGATGCGACCCTTAATTGCGCCAGAGGTGGGAATTCTACCAAAACCTACAACACTGCCCGTAAAATTATGGAGGAAATGGGTGACTGATTGGTACACTACCGATATCATGGTTTTTTTTTGTAGATTTGTAGATCCTGTTTACCCAGCTGCAGGTATTCCATAAAATTCCAATCCAACATTGACACTTCTCACTGAAGTAGTGCTGCAGATTTAGAGAGGCCATCTTTTAGATGACATGTTAGATTGTGACCCATTTGCTTACTTGGGTACATTTAAAAGATCCCATTGCACAATTTTGAAAGCGATGGGAGAGTAATTCCAATGTTTATCCTTCAATCAACATGACAAAAACAGATTATCTGGTTATTTTCAAATTGTTGTTTGTGAAAATTTACCATGCACAGATTAGATGCTAAATTATAACAGTGACTGTACTTTAAAAATATTCCATTGACAGTTAAGTGCTTTATTTGCATTGACTTGTGTCAAGTGCACTTGTGCTTAGCAAAATATTGAATCAGATTATATACCATGCAACACGAAATTTAGTTGTGAATTTGTTTTTATGTGTGTCAACAAGTTTCTGTACAATATTTTACTTTTCAGAACCACATTTTTCATTATTTCAAACTCCTTGTTACTGCAACCTTTTAATACTTGCAAATGACTATTTACTACAGGAATCAATTCTGAATTACATTATAGTAATGAACATTATGTCATAGAGCAGGATTTCCCAAAGTGGGAAGGTGACCTGAAATTTGGGGGTTGTGACCTCCGTGACAACAAGAGGATGGTCAGAGTGAGGGTAGGGCCAATCAGGGATAGTGGAGGGAACTTGTGCCTGGAGTCAGAGGAGGTAGGGGAAGTCCTTAATGAATACTTTGCTTCAGTATTCACTAGTGAAGGGGACCTTGTCATTTGTGAGGACAGTGTGAAACAGGCTGATATGCTAGAACAGGTTGATGTTAGGAAGGAGGATGTGCTAGAAAGTGGCTGTCACAGAGCTCTAACTTCTTCAGTCTCACAGGTTTTTTTTCTCCCCTGACCACTCACCTCTCACAGTTGTCACTGAGGGATCAGAACAATTGTCAAGCTTCAAAAATGGAGTTACAGTGGGAAAAACGTTTGGATAATGTTAGTGATCACAACTCCCTGACCTTTACTGTGGTCATGGAGAGGGATAGGAGCAGATAGTATGGCAAAGTATTTAATTGGGGGAGGGGGAATTACAATGCTATTAGGCAGAAACTGCGGAACATAAATTGGGAACAGATGTTCTCACGGAAATGCATGACAGAAATGTGGAGGTTGTTTAGGGAGCACTTGCTACAAGTACTGGATAGGTTTGTCCCACTGAGGCAAGGAAGGGATGGTAAGGTGAAGGAACCTTGGATGACAAGACATGTGGAAAATCCAGTCAAGAGGAAGAAGGAAGCTTACTTAAGGTTGAGGTAGCAAGGGTCGGACAGGGCTCTAGAGGGTTACAAGGTAGCCAGGAAGGAATTGAAGAATGGATTTAGGAGAGCTAGAGGGGGGCATGAAAAAGCCTTGGTGGATAGGATTAATGAAAAAACCAAGGGGTTCTATACTTAGGTGAGGAACAAGAGGATGGCCAGAGTGAGTGTAGGGCCAATCAGGGATAGTGAAGGGAACTTGTGCCTGGAGTCGGAGGAGATAGAGGAAGTCCTTAATGAATACTTTGCTTCAGTATTCGCTAGTGAGGGGGACCTTGTTGTTTGTGAGGACAGTGTGAAACAGGCTGATATGCTCGAACAGGTTGATGTTAGGAAGGAGTATGTGCTAGAAATTTTGAAAAAACATGAGGATAGACAAGTCCCCTGGGCCAGACGGGATATACCCAAGGTTACTACAGGAAGCGAGGGAAGAGATTACTGCGCCTTGACGATGATCTTTGCGTCCTCACTGATTATTGGAATAGTACCAGATGATTGAAGGGTGGCAAATGTTATTCCCCTGTTCAAGAAAGGAAATAGGGATAACCCTGGGAATTACAGACCAGTCAGTGTTGCTTCTGTGGTGGACAAATTATTGGAGAGGATTCTGAGAGATAGTATTTGTGATTATTAGGAAAAGCATGGTTTGATTAGAAATAGTCAGCATAGCTTTGTGAGGGGCAGGTCATGCCTCACAAGCCTTATTGAATTCTTTGAGGATGTGACAAAACACATTGATGAAGGTAGAACAGTGGATGTGGTGTATATGGATTTCAGCATGGCATTTGATAAGGTTCCCCATGGTAGGCTCATTCAGAAAGTAAGAAGGCATGGGATTCAGGGAAATTTGGCTATCCGGATACGGAATTGGCTGTCCAATAGAAGACAGAGGGTGATAGTAGATGGAAAGTATTCAGCCTGGAGCTCACTGACCAGTGGTGTTCCGCAGGGATCTGTTCTGGGACCTCTACTCTTAGTGATTTTTATAAGTGACTTGGATGAGGAAATGGAAGGGTGGGTTAGTAAATTTGCTGATGACATGAAGGTTGGTGGAGTTGTGGATAGTGTGGAGGGCTGTTGTAGGTTGCAACGGGACATTGACAGGATGCAGAGCTGGGCAAAGAGGTGGCAGATGAAATCAACCCAGAAAAGTGTGAAGTGATTCATTTTGAAAGATTGAATTTGAATGCAGAATACAGGGCTAATGGCAGGATTCTTGGCAATGTGGAGGAACAGAGGGATCTTGGGGGTCCACGTCCATAAATCCCTCAAAGTTGCCACCCAAGTTGATAGGGTTGTAAGAAGGCATATGGTGTGTTGGCTTTCATTGGCAGGGGGATTGAGTTTAAAAGCCACGAGGTTATGCTGCAACTCTATAAGACCCTGGTTAGACCACACTTGGAATATTGTGTTCAGTTTTGTTCGCCTCATTATAGGAAGAATGTGGAAGCTTTAGAGAGGATG